GCAGAAGTAGTTTGCAATTGATAGGACCCAGCACTTGAATTCACTGCCGTAAACCATTCTTCAAAAATAGAAGACTGACTCCGTAATAAATCCAAGAAACTCCCATAAGGAGTACCATGTCCACTCAAAGAATTTTTGAAGTCCTCGAAAGAAATAGAAGTTGGCCAATAAAGGCCCACCGGGGCACCGCATCCATCAGGAATCAGAAGGATCTTGGAAAAATCCCCAACCAGCATTGCAGGCTTTGTTGCCTGAACAAAGTCCTGCTGCGACGCTGGCATTTTCAACCTTGTTCGCCCACTGAGGGAAACCACCAGACTATGAGTAGGGACACTCATATCTCCCTGCCAGTATTGCTGGATCAAAGTGGGATCAAAGCAATCAGACCACTTTGGGGCCCCGCGATGGACAGCATCTTGCCCATTGAAAGTAGTACTAACAGGACTAGCGCCAAATCCAATAACCGGAGGAGAATTCGGAGTAAAAAATACTCCAAGGACTGCTCCGACGCGAGACGAGTTCAAGAGCCGCAACTTGTCTGTAGAGAGCATCTGAGGTGCATTAAAACGGATAGCATCAGCAGAAATGGTCGCTGCTGTCACTGATTCCTTGCGACCCCGACCATAGACCGAATAGGGCTTACCAGTAGGAACGGCAAACCCAAAAGACGCTTGAATTTCCGATTTCTTGGGTCTCTTCTTGTCATGGATCGCTTGATGAATTGAATCATCTGAAAAGCAGATGCTGACAGAAGAGAGAAACTGAGTTCCCATCTGGGGACTTTCAGGACCAAGCAACTTGGGGAAGGATGTCATTTTCGAAGGATGACAGGTGCACAGAACGCGATTTCGTTGTTTCAACAATGCCTCGGAGCGGTGGAAGGCGAATAGAAGATCAAGACAATCCGATCAGCTCTTATAGGAGGGATGTTGGAAGTTGTTAGCTGCACGTCACGCTGGCCGATCGCAATGAATGAGGGCGGCGTGTAAGGAGCTGGAGTTTTTCGTTCGCTTGCAGACAAAGGCTGGGTACCAAGAGAAAAATTGAATTACCGCGACACAAGTGGGTGAATTCAATCTCAGTCGATGTCTTTGCCGCCTACCTCCTTTTTTGGAGACTCTTTCAGTACTATTTCGAAATCTGACTCATATTCACAATGCACTGTACGAAGTTCTTTGTCGTAGTTTACAAACTGTATCATAGCACCACTGTCTGTAGGAAGCTGTACACTCAACATGTCACACGGCCAGAGATTCAATCGGAAATTAAATGATGCACATCGGATGTTTTTGAGGTATGCCCAATCGCATCCTGCCACACTTACTGTAGCGATATTGGGTGGATCCTTAGTGTCTGGTATCGTTGCCTTTAAGATTCTGGATGACGGGGACAGTTACAAGCGCGACCCGAAGGAAAAGATGTCAATGGAAGAGGCTCGTCTAATTGCAATGTTGGAGAATGCCAAAGAGAGTTCCTGGAACCAGAATTTAGAAAACGCCGTCGACGCACAAGAACAATTCATGATGCCAGGTCGTCAACGAGACGTTCCAGATTTTATGAGTCGAATTGATGAGCGAAGTCATGAAATTATGAAGAATCAACACGCAACGATCGACAAAGAAAAGATGAGAAAGGAGACAAACACAAAATATTGGAGCAACTAAGTCTGCTTCATTGCTATGAAAATATTCTGGATTGACTTTGGAATCCAATGCCATCGAAAATGTTTGAATTCGGTGGCACATGCCGTCTTCGCTGCCAGCAGCAAGATAAGTAGCACTGTAGATTAGTCGTGTTGATTTTAAAAGAAAAGAAATTTTGCAGATTGTACAGTGAATCTCCATTGCTTTACACAAAGTCTGTGGGATCCCAATCGGGCCCTTGAATGTCGGAAGCATCCCATCCATCTATTCTTCCGAGTTTTCCAGCCTTGTATCCAACGTCCAATGAATCCAAAGTATCCATTTCGTCCTTTGTCAGCACAAAGGATGCTTCCTGGTTGACACCACCATACGAGTTCTCTGCAATTGCAACCTTCTCAACCTTTGCCTTGGCGGCAGATCTTGGAACACATATGTAACCCTTTTGAAGTGACCACCGGACCAGAACTTGAGCTTTGGTCATTCCTTTGGCCGCGGCTATTTTGGAGACCACTTCCCAGCCTTCGGTGGGCCCATCGGCACTCGATAATCGAGACCAGGCCCCACAAGAAACAGCGATCCCATAGGTACTACACCAATCGACAATTTCCTTGTGTGCATTGAATGGACTGAGCTCGATTTGGTTCACGGCAGGGAGTTCTAAATCGGCAGCAGCGATCTCCTTGAGTGCTGCCAAACCGTAGTTACAGACTCCTACTGTCTTGGTAAAACCGCCATCTCGAAGGTTCAGCTATTGAAATCAGACAATTGAAATGAAATTGAGCGATACATCAGAGGGTGAGACGAAAAGCGTTCATCTCCAACTCAACATACCAGCGTTTTGTATGTTTCCAGTCGCCGTTCCGAATCCGTCAATGGACTGTGTATGGATACCATATCGAGATAGGTGCATCCCAACTCTTTGATGGCATTTTTAACGGCTCGTCGCACCTTGACGGGATCGGTGGACTGCTCGGCGTTGGAAATCTTGTGCGAAACGAAGAGTTGTTGTCGTCGGCCGCTACGTCCAACGGATCCATCGGGAGCCGGGGAGAGGTTGTTGGATGTTCCCGAGCTCACTGTGGAAACACTCTTGTCGGTTCCTGCTGCATAGGCAGCATCCAATCGTTCCAGCAACTCTGGCTTTTCATCCTTTGCCAAACCCAAGCCACTAATGCCAATGTTCAAGTACTTTTGTAGCGACTTGGCCACCTCTCCATTCGACCCATATAAACTTCCAACATCAATGTGTAAAATACCACTACGCAGTGCTACTGACGTTGCCTTTTCCGCCTGCTCTGCTGGGGTTTTGTAAAGCGAATAGCCGACGCGAGGAATCTTCACCACTGACTTGCCCTTGTTGCCTCCGCGAATGCCCAAGAGAGGTCCTGGATCACTATTGGGGGCGACCATTTTGGATTTGGCAGTAATTGGATTACCAGCTTTGGAACGAGCTGCATTGATTTTGTCCATATCCACCTTTTCCCGTGTGTCGTTGCTGTTGGATCCTGGAGTGGTGACTCCTCCAACCAATTCACCAACCGAGGTTGGGGCTTTGGTTCGGGCAGCGTAGATAGCTTCCATATCGATATTTTCAGCAGCCTTTACCTCCATTACACCATTTAAGAGAATGGTAGCGGCAGACGTCGAAATTGCCACGGCATCTCTTCTGGATATTTCAGTCTGTGGCTGCCGTTTCGGTTGATTCTGATGATTGTTTGGTGGAGCAAGCGCTGAAGTGGCGGCCACTAGTTGTGCCACTAAAACAAGTTTCATAGTTCTCATTATGGCTTCTAGAGACAAATTATCGTAGATTTTATTTGACACAGATGAAGATGTGGGAAGGTAATTAATCGCACTAGCTAGAAGATGCAAGATGTTGAAAGATGTGGAGATGATGCTTCGGTGACGTTTCGAATCGAATCAGTCAATGAGCCAAGAGATGAAAATGACCCCAAATTTCCTGCCAAGACAGAAAAACAAGAAGCACAAATATTCAACCCGAAGAGGTGTTTGTTCCTCTTGTAATCGTGATCGTGTGTTTTTACGACACAGTGATGATATCTAGATGATGAAACAACGGCCTACCTTACATTCGCTACAAAGCCCCAAGAAAAAATTGCCAGTGTCCAGTGTGATTTTGACTGTTCTGACGGTGTTTTTGGTATTCCTAGTCTTGCTTGTGACTTGGGTAAACTTGTTTGTCTATGCACCACCGAGTACACAAGAACCCCCGTTGAACCTACCATTAGCAGAAGAATGTGAACCAAGCAACAAGAAAACGTCTTCAATACAAGCCTTGCCATCAACACCGCGGGTACTGATTCCCGCTGTGGATGAAGAAGTCATGACTGATAGTACCAACGCTACAGTGATGGGCATGGCAACAGGCTACAATATCGGTGTCTACAAACGCTTTGTTGGCTCTTTGCGGAAGTCTGGGTATACGGGTAAGTCGTGATTGAATTCCTATTGGATGGGAGCTTCAAGAGATGACGACTGAATTGTCCCCCCTACGGCTCATTTTTTCTGACCACCACATGCCGCTCATGCATATCTCAGGTCATATAATATTGGTCATCGCCGACGAGCCCGCAAGAGGTGTCGTAGAGTATTTATCCAGCAAAGGTGTCATTATGAAAACTCTAAAAAAAGTCCCATGCACCACCAAGATATTCGATGAAGGAGAGAAAGTTAGCGGTCACGCAATGGAAGTTGCCACCTGTGCCCATCCATACCCTTATCTTAAGATCCGATGGGGACGATTTCCACTTCTTCGAGACTTTTTGCAAGAATGTGAGACTTGTACTGGGCCAGTGCTTGTAACCGATGTTCGCGATGCTCTTTTCCAAAGAGATCCCTTTGGAGATGGAGCTCCTGTAGTTAGAGGATTGCAAGTCTTTCAAGAAGCCAAATTCCAAAAGACTACCCATTGGTTGGTTAAGGGCCCAGTATCCAAATGCAAAGGTATCGTCATTGATGATGTTATGCTTTGCAGCGGTACTACAATTGGAACGAGAGAAGCCGTGCTAGAGTACTTGGAAATCATGCACCAAGAAATGGCCGAATGGATGAAAGACCCAAAGTGCTGCTGTAACAAGATGAACGGGGACGACCAATCGATACATAATTACTTGTACTACACGGGAAGGTTTCCAAATGCCACAAGCATTCCTAACCGATTTGGGATTGTGCACACAGTGGGCAAGCAAGCAGCTGAAATCTACAAGGCACACGAAAAGAACCTAGTTCGCAGTCGAGGGGACAAAGATTTGGCCAAAGTTGTACCGTTTCCAGGAACCAAAGAAGGTGAGGAACCATGGCTTGGTCCAGAGTTTGATCTTGTGGACAATGAAGGGTTCTTTATGAACTACGATGGCAGTCGGTCCAGAGTAGTGCACCAGTGGGATCGGTTCAGAGACAAAATTCAGCCGTGGCTCCAAACTAGTGGTCTAGTAGATCCATGACGGGAACTACGCTTCGTATTATTAGGTTAATAGCCATACCGGTACTATTAATATAATACCCGTGGTCCTTTCCGTTGTAAAAGTCCTTTTAGTCGGGGTACTATTGTTTTTACTACTGTTACTATGTGCGATGAGAGACTACTCCGACTCGATTACACAGTAAAATGACGTCCACCCTCAGTCATTGTATAAAAAAACTACAGGTGTTATCTTAACCCTCACCAACCATCCAGCAGAACGATTCGGTACCTCAAGCTTGCACGGGAAAATGAGTGTCTTGGAAATTGATTTGGTCACAGAAGCAGGTAGAAAAAAATTTCATGAAGATAGCGGCGATATCTTTGTATCCTGCGTGAGAGACCTCGTCAAAATTCAACAACTGAGGAACTTGACTGCCTATGACAAGGCCCAAGTTGAGACTATACACCAAATATTGGTTAAACTCGCCACAACAATGCCCCCCGAAGACTTCCGCAAGAAAGTGCCAGAATTTGATACCATTATGTTCATGAGGCATGCGATGATTGAAATCCAAAGGTTGACTTCAGAACCCAGCTACATCCAGACGGGCGAATTGGACAATCACGAATGCGTGCTTATTCCTCTGGCTGCGCTTTGCTTTCAGATTGTCCCTGGTGCTGTTGCCTTTGAAAGCGAGTTCTTCCAAATCTTGGCTGACTTTGTGAAAGCCCGTAGATCCAAAAAAAAACGGCGTAGATTGCCTTCACAAGAAAATTGTAGACTCATTTGCGAGATTGTATCCAACGCATACATCGCTTCGCAAGAAGGATTTGATAACAACTGGCCTGCAGAAAGGGTATTTAAGAAGCTCGAGGAAAGTGGTATCCTCCAACAGTTCCTCCGATGTTTGACGGTTCCAGGGTCAATGAAAAATTATCCCAAGAGAATCACCTCAATGCTCGACAACCTTCATAATTGTCCTTTGATTCTGAAGAAAAAGTTTAAACGGGGCCAGCCTTGTGGTGATACCTTATCTGCCATAATAGAAGGTAGAGACGGAAGCGTGGACCAAGAATCAGATGTCATCAAGTCGTTTCAGACCTTGAAGGAAGCTGCAACTGCAGCAGATCCAACAAGGTACAAACCAAAGCAGGAGACTTGCAGCCACTGCGGCAAACAAGAACCTGCGGAATCAATATCGCACATGTCGTGTAGTCGATGCAAGCTTGTCCATTACTGCTCCAAAGCGTGCCAAAAAGCTCACTGGAAACATCACAAGCAATACTGCGTGCCAATTTCCAAGCAAAGCATGAAAAAATTGGATTTCCTTTCTAAAGCAGTAAACAACTTTCTGCATCAATACTATGTAAACATCATGCTAACAATGTTGGGGGAATGCAATGATACAGGCTTGGATATGAATGAGATGATTATTGAGCTCAACTTCTCGGCAAACGATGATGGTATGGTTCCTGCAATGCAAAACCCGCCAATTTTCAAGATTACGCCAGCTCAGCGTTACATCGAAGGATTTCCGCGCGAGATACCTGATTGGATCCGCAACGATTTTGATCTTGATACTTCTGAAAAGAGAATCCAACAGAACATGGATATGATACAGTCACTTGATATTCAGGCAAGCCCCACTACGATTATAGCACACTACGCTGACTGTGTCCAAAATTTCAGTCCCCAGTCAGGGTACGTTAGCTCCGGCAAAGTCTCGTGCAAGTATCTGTTCCTCATCTATCACTCACCATGTTGCTTTTTGACTTCCTCTCATTTGGTAGCGACAAGAGATTTTCCCAGGATGCCCAAGATGCCTTTTGGGATGCCATGCACCAACATTTTGAACCTTTGTCAAAGATACTTCGACCGGCCGAGTTGCAAATCGCCCGACAGGCGATCGGCCCGGAATTTGTTGTATACAATCCTCCAAGTGATGTGGCAGCCTTGAGCGAGGTCCGTGAAATCCTGGACAGGAGTAGTGTTTGATAGTCTTACAATCGCAACAATTCAATATGCAGTAGTATTCAATATTAGCTCCTTTATATGGCAGCAATAGCAGACTGCTGACGAATCAAATGAGACCGAATAATCAATTGGTCTCCATATCCTTGGCAACATCTGGGAAACTACAGATTGATTCCAAATGCTTGGCACTACCATCTCGCACCCACCCATCCAGTTGGGCCTGGTTCTTGAGCTGGGCTCCGCGGACTCTAGGTACGACGAAGAACTGGCACTCGACATCGTCTAGGGACGACATGTCGCCCCATAATTTCTCAAATTGAGCAGTGGGAAATATATCCTCTTGACCGTTGCCCCATCGCTTTTTGACTTCTTTCAAGGCAGCATAGGTAGGCAGTTTCTGAGAGAAGTTTTTTACAGCAATTTCGACCTTCGAAATATCTTGAAGATCGTCTATCGATAGGTTGTATTTGGATAGAAGCTTATCGATATCGATCCAGCAAGTAAGCGTGTTGTAATACGAAAACTTGAATTCATCTTCCTCCCGTGACAGTGCCAAGCCTTCTACCAGCCGAGTCTTGCCATTCACTCGTGCCAGTCCACCTCCAATATCTTCAATTTCACGAGGAATTACTTCAAACCCTAAAGTTGACTTTCCCTCCAAAAATAATCCCAAAAGTCCTGGATCCACATCAGCACCAACGGTATCAATGTTATGAAGCATGAGGTACTTCAATTGAGGTCTTTCTTCCAAGATCTTTTGTAGGGTTCCATTCAATAATAGGTTTGGAATCTCAAAGTAGTGTCCAACTGGATGGAGGCGTTGAAGTGGTAAATTATCAGTGTAATCTGAAGCCTCCCCACATGACTCGGCCCACTCAATCAGCGCTCGATGTGCACTTTCGACAACCTTCTGCGCCTGTTCATCCAGTTTTTGTTGTTGCATCTCTTCCCAAGCAAATTTCAGATCGCTTTTTGTAGGGACTAATCTTAGCCCAATAGACTTCCCTTTTGAAACATAGAGAGGCCCGATGTAGTCATGATTTTTAGCGCGTCGCAAGTAGCTTTGAAGCGGCCCATTTGTCATGTGGCTTGTGGTGAGAATATGGACAATAGGCGTTCCTGATATCTCACTCATCCGTCTACTCTTTGCCAAGTGAATCTCCAAGAAGCTTCTGTGCTTTCCCTGCAGTTTACAGAATGGGTGAATCGCCTTGACACACCCCGCACCTTGGGTCCAACGGCTTCCAACGCCAGCAGCAAGCGAAACGACGGCAACACTTCCTTTCTTTAGCTCTTCCATTCCTCGTTCTCGGACAGCATCCGTAACTTTTTCCTCTGCCACGACTACATCTTCTGGTCTCACATTCTGAATATCGGCATCAATAGGTAGTCTATTCTGCTTCAGACCGATTTCCCCGTTCTTGTAGCTCATTCGCTGATTCTCGTGCTCCTTTGAGTCAAAGCCAAGATCGCTGAGGATATCCTCCAAAATAACTTGATTGTCTGTTGCCTCTCGTTTGTTTGAACCTATTTGTTTCACCAATAATTTGGGTGCCAATTCACAGAATTCTGAAACTGTGCCATTATTGTTGATTGAAAAGTCATAGACCACAGGGTCCATTGCAAACGGCAACGCGTGTTCCATTTCCTTTTTTGTCTTCAGCATGATCTCTTGCATCCCGTTCAGAGCATCCTTCTTTGATTCAGGCTTGAAGATGAAACCCATGCCGCCGCCAGAACATCCACCAAGCATCCAGAACCCAAGAAAATCATCACCATATCTACTTCTCGTTCTCTCAATCAGTGTCTCGGTGTACAGATTAGAAGCCCAAGGGATGATGGTCTGCAGTGGCTCAAAAAAGTTGTGGGTGGTCAGCTTTGCCAGCTTGCTGATGTTGCTCTCTTTGAAACTGTCTAGGATATTATCCAGGATTTGAAGGGATTCATGTCTTCAAAAGGATGATAGTCAGCGAAAGAATTGTAGATGGATACAAGATACAAGCTTGCCTTTCTTGCTTACCTAGCCTTCCATTCCTCTGAAGATCGTAGCAAGTACCTGATCAAAGCGTATCCATTGCATAAGAAAACGAAAGCCGAGCAAAATGCTGGACCACCTTCGGTTGTACTTACCGTTCTGTTACCATCTCAAGTACAGGCCCCACATTCTGTGCCATGCCACCATGGACAAGAATCAAACTGTTCTGAAGTGCTTTTATCAATTGCGAGGGTGCTTCATCGTCTGATAGCTGACGATGAAGAGGGAGAAGGCGCCCTCGACTCAATCCATGCTCGGGATCCTCCTCTTTTGGTTTGACACCTTCAATCAATTTGATGCCAGGCCAAAGACCTCCACTATCCTGCCACCCACCACCAGACCCTCCCAACCATTCTCCGAGGATAGCTCTGGCAGCAACAAGCCGCCGTTCCTCCTCGAGCAAATCGCCCGTCAAGCAGTCGGTCTGACCCGTCGCTCGCATTCCCAGTGAAATCATCGATCCCAACAAGTTGGTACTCACCGCAAGGCGACTTCCCTTTGGAATATCATTGACCTTTGTCGTCAGATGAAGGCCTTTTCCCGGACCAATCATGGTGTCGAACAAGTCTCCAAGTGGCGCAGTAGAGCCCTCTAAGCCAGGTGGTACAATTCCGGAAGCAATTATTCCAGCCTTTAGCAATCCAACATAATCTCGAGCGAAGTCAAAGACTTCGGATATATGAGTGAGAGTCACACTGCACTTGAGATCGATCGATGTAAGCTTCAAGACTTGCTCGGAAATCACCTCCAAATAGGATTCAATTGGCTATGGATTTGCATTTTGGATTGTGATGCAATGTTAATGGCCCAATATGTAGTATGGTAAACAATCGATGGTGCACCAACGAGTACATCTACGTACCGGTTCTGGAAACTCATGTCGTCCACGAACAGCCAAATCCACCGAAGCATTCAAAACACGGGCACCTTCTGGAAAGTCCATTCCCAAAAAGAAAATGTCGGACCATCCACAATGGGAAAGGTCCATTCGCACTGGGGTCTTTTCGCAAAGTACTTTTCCTTCAATCAAATCGGAATGAATCTTCTTAGGATGTTTGTCGGGTTCCACGACTTGAAAAAGGAAGGCATTACCATCAAAATTCTTAACCGACAGTCGCACTTGGTCGGCTAGTGTTTGGAAACCCAAATGATAGTATGACTTGGCCAAGGCACTCGATATTGCTTTGGAGGGTTTCTCGTGATGAATCTTTAGGAAAACATCGATAGCATCCATAAATTTTCTATCAAGTAAGTGCTTGTAGCCCTCATAAGGAATAGAACCAGCTGCTGGTAAGTCAGTCAAGTGAAATCGGTGGATTGCATAGAGGAAAAACAGGGCTCTGACTCTTTCATAGAGATTTTCGGACGTCCTCGAAAACTCATCCAAGTCTTTGCATTGCTTCAAAAGCTTGTCAGTCGGGGCATTGGAGCAGTAATCTGCCAAGGATATGTGTCGCCTTTCATCTTCCGATAGGATAATGTCTACGAGCGAAAAGTCGTAGCCATCCTTGGATGCTGGCGAGGCATCGGTCATGGTGCTTCTTTTCTTTAAGGTTGTGAGATTTCGTTAGTTTCCTCCGATTTTCCCATTCGACTACTTTGACTTTTAATTAAGCTCCGCGTCCATACGTCGACCGCTTCTCATACGGACCAACGAAGGACAGGTAGAAGCTTCGAAAGCAATCCAACGGTTTTTTGAAATCGATTGCTTGGCAGAGCTTCCACCGCAACAGTTCTCATATATCCAACGATCCAACAACGCTGCGCCGAAGGTTTAAACTAAGGATCCTTGGCAGAATTCTTTCTCAAACGCGAAATTCACCTATACATTTTCTACAGTAGCAGGGACAGGAAGTACAATCTACTTTCATCGGCTTTTTGACAAGATCTTCGCCTCACAAAATCAAGCTTTTTGAAAAATGAGACAAACATGCCTGATAACACTACTGGCACTGGTAACATCCTTTGCCAGCGTAAATGGATTTATTCTTCCTAGTTCGAGTCCCTTTACGAGCACTCGATTATATGCTGAATTGCCTGATATGGCGAAAATGAAAGCATCAGAAATGAGGAAGGAGCTGGAGAGTTATGGTATTTCTACGAAGAGCCTATTGGAAAAGAGCGAGTTTGTGGAAGCCTTGAAGAAGGCTCGTGCCGAAGGAAAGACACCAGTGAATGGCACTACAGATGCAAGCTCTAGCGCCAGCAGCAGCACCAAAGCGGAATCATCATCGTCATCATCATCAACTGAAACGCCACCTGAGTCGTCATCTGAGTCATCAGAGACCAGAGATAAAAGATATAAAGAAGCACTGGACAAAGCCAAAAAGATGAAGGTCGGAGATCTCAAGAAGGAATTGGAGGGCCGAGGGATATCGACCAAATCTTTCTTTGAGAAACCAGAGTTCGTGAAGGCATATGCTGAAGCGGTGGCCGACAACAAAAAGGGAAAGGGAGGACCGGGTCCACGACCAGAAGAGCCAAGAGATCCAGCGTTCAAAGATGTTGTCATGCAAAAGATGTCAAAGGGCGCGATGATGGGAGAAAGAGTGATTGATATCATGGTACGGTAGGTGAGCTCCAGCAGCTTTCCCATCCACAGGATTGCCGCCCCAGAGATTGATATGACATCTTGGCGGCAAAGCAGCATCGCTTGGAGCCTTTTCCAAAACCTAGTTATGATTCCGCCAATCAGAGGTTGGACTCTGTTAACTCTCTCAAGTCTTAAGATACTAATGTCATGGCAACTAGAATAGATGATGGTCTTATCCTGAATTATTTTGAGTTTGCATGATTCTGGCGAAGGATGCGATGATGTGGTATGAATGGCTGATTCTGTTCTTCCCGATGTATTCCGGGACCCCTTCGACTAGATATTTTAAAATAATCATGATGAAAAATAGAGAGGAAAAGTTTCTACTCCCGACCTCTTACACCTTGTCCATCCAAGACAACAAGATGAAACGAAAGCACCAAAGACAAAAAAGCCTCGTAAACAACGGCGAGGTTCTTGCTCCCAATGGGTCACACTTTTGATACGACTTGCCTGACTTGGAGAAACACATTCATCACAACAACCACCAGCTTGCAGTGTATGAAAAAAGAGTTACTGCTTACACATCTATGGACTGGGAATCCGTTGAAAACCAATTCACAACATCTTTGGCCGATCGCATCTGATATAAAAGAATAGAAAACTGAAATTACAGAGATCGGGAGTCAAAGTTCTGCTTTCAGTTCGCATGCGGTAAGGAAACTTGGAAGCTCAACAGAGTATTCGGCATGCATATTCCGGCGGTTTGAATTTAAAACAGATTGTGGCCGAAATTGCCAAAACGCTCGAAGTTTTTAGTTCGACCGTGGTTTGAAATTGCTCGAGGAATTTCCTCGTAGTATTTTGACAAATTCGCCAGAGGTGCGAAGAAAATAATCAATTTCTATTTAACGGCTTCAGCTTACATATCGAAAAACTGCCTTCTTTTGTGGAATAGTCCCGCGGTTTTTGGCCGTTTGACGGTCCTCACAAGACTGATCCAAATTCTTGCAATGAACTCACATAATCCAAAAACCTGGGCTACTAGTTCCGAATCATTGACTTTGTAGCACTACTGAGGGCACTCATTATACCACACCAAACACACAACAGTTGAACAAATAATATCACTATGAACTGTACTAAAAAAGGATTATCTGCAAGGGTGAAGGCTCTTTCCATGGCTTGCCTATCATCGGCAGCCGTAACGATGTGTTTCCTCAGCGGAAGCAGTTGTTCGTTTGTCGAAGTCAGACCAGGAGAAGAGAACTATCTCGTCACATCATTAGGTGATGAGATTGAAAACGTCGACGTTGCTTTCATGGGCTTGAAGTGCGATTCAATTTTGTTGGATAATGGCACTGATGACATGGTCAGCCTCGGTCAACATTTCTTCCACATGAGTTTGGGAGTTGGAGTCGCCACTGCAGTCTTGGCCTGGATATTAAGTGTCTGTCTTCCACCAACAAAATGCTCATGGATTACAATGGCAATCATGGGATCAGCGACAGCGGTCATTCAAATTCCTCTGTTTTTGATGTTCGAGTCGATTCCATGCACAGTCCACCCAAGCCGGCAAACGTGTTCTTTGGGCCCAGGATCCTATTTCAATATTGCCAGTATTACCTTGTGGATAGTTATGACCATCTGGGCTCAACTCATTCTTCCACCAAAATGGGATGGTTCCTCACAAGAAAAGACAAGGGACCAAATCACCATCCGAGAGATTGTCATACCCTTTTCGGAAACAGATACTTCAACCGCCAACGGCGACTCAAACAAGGAACGAGATGTGGAGCAAGGTTCACCAAAGGAAGCCAAGCAAATTGCAAAGTCTGGGGACAAGAATGCACCAATTTCACTGGTTGCATACGATGAGTTTGATGACATTAGTGAAATGACTCCTTCCGTGGCACCACGAGAAAGAAAAGAGAAAAAATCACAAAGTGGGGTTAAGCAGTAGTGGTCTTGTCGAAGCCCATTGTGGGTTACGAATATAATTTGGTGTTGTGCTACGATGTTTGTCATTGAATGACGAATGCTTTTGGAGGACTAAGTTCATAATGTAAGAATTGTTTTATTCATTATTTCACTTGATTTTGTTGTTGTAATGGAGGAAAAGTCGCGGTACATCCTCATGATTCCAGGCCAATTGTTCATTCTCCAATTGTCGATGTCTCTCGGTAGACAAGTAGTGTCATGTGAATTCGATACGTATTCTCTTGAAAGCGTATAGTATCAATCTCAATATACGAAAATGAAATGCCAGAACAATGCTAGCACGACGGATTGCATGACAGCTCGAAAGATGTGACCCTCGGGATAAGGGAATGGGGGAGCAATGGACAACTGAGCATCATGTGTGAACATGTAGATATTGGCAGGGGTAACAGCCGCAACCAGTAAGAACATGAGAAAGGCACTAATCTGAATAGGGAAAGCGCCAATTCCTCCCAACGCAAATAGTATACCTCCTCCGATTTCCGCAATTCCTGACCAAAGGACATGATATTCCGAATAGGATAAACCCAGCTCTTCAGACTTGGGTGCCGGTATTTGCCAAAGGCCACCCCAGGTTCCTTTCGGGGGGACAATCTCCGCGTAGGCATCTTTTTCGGAAAAGTGAGTGTAACCAACAAAAGCAAAGAGCAATCCCAATGGAACTGGCACGAGGAATCCAAGGACAGAGTCGAGAAATCCAAACGGCAAAATGTCATCGAAAAAGTTTAGGATATTGACAATCACAACAGTTCCAGCTAGTATTCCTGCGCCGATGCCAATTACTGCGCGTTTCTGGGTGTCTTCATCTTTTGCGGAAACGAGAATAGATGGATCTGGTCGAGATACTTCTGGAAATCCAGTCTCATCTGGATCCGATGACGCAAGCTGGGTAAGAAATGGCAGTTGCTTCTTAAAGGGTGGGATAACGGAACACCTTGATGCGGGTAGCCCAATGGTTTGGAAGGCGCTTCCAGATTCCAAGAAGCAACCAATGGCCAGGACTAGTCCCAATATCTTGAAGATTCGCGATCCTTGGGATGCCATTGTCATAGGTAGATTCTTTACGACGTGATTGATGCGATCTGTGTTGCAACGACGCAACTATCTTCATTCATCTAAAAGCTGCGAATCTTTGACATATCCGACTTACGTTTCATAGTTTGCCCGTCGACCGGACGCTGTCACTGAGAATGACACACTTTGAACACCAGTACACGTGTACCGGTGCTGTACCTGGTACTGGTACAAGTACCCACCATTTTTATATCCCGTCATTGAAAGAGACTATCCGTAACGAATCGTTTACATATATTTATTTATCTAAAACAAACAGGGTTCAGGCTTGAGTCGCATGCCAATCCAGACGATTCCAAATCCTGGGTAAGAATGACAATCGCAATTCCAAAACGTTGTATTCATGAATAGCCGGAAGCAAGCACAGCTAGGTGATAGCACGTGCTGACGACCTTTGATGTGATTGCTGTAATAATGCAGAAGTAGCTCCTTTCCGCAATTTTAATTTCTTTCATGCGTCAAGCTATGAAACCGTATCATCAGAACAACAGAGTTTGTCTTCCCCGTGGCATTACTCCAGCTCCAAACAAAGCAGCTGATTCTGTATCCCCGATCCTTTATTTGTTCATTGATCCCATTGACCCATCCTTCGTTTAGGAGAGGCACCAATTTCTTCACCGTTGCATTATCCTCTCGCATTAATCCGCAACAGGTGGTCTCGGGGGGAATCGACTGAACAGCCTCGATGAACGACCTCCGCAGATGAAGTTCCTTCCAGAATTTGCTGCATTCTGCGAACTCTTGTTCCATCCCGATGACATCTGATTCCTTCATTCTGGCAGTGGGATCAAAATAAGGCAGTGACTTGACCTCCAAGGCACCCACGACGGATTTGTCTAGTTTCCATTTGAAGTCAGAATTCAACCGGGTGGAGAATCGATGGTGTCGTTCCCGTTGGCTCTTTTCCAACATGTCCTCGTCATTTCTCATGCTCATGCTGGTGGCTGAAACCTTTCTCATAGAATTGGAATAGTATAGGTATCCAGTGATATCTGAAGTCGACTAATGAAATGAACCCAATTGTTTGTTAGGTTCTAATGTACCCGGTACTGTACCAATACCGGTATGCCCAAGAGAATCATTCATCGACGACGAAATTTTCTTCCCTACCAGAAGTGCCATGGAACGGTATTAAGTGTGACCTTCGCCACATAAATAATGAAGGAAATGCGACCAATATCACATAAATACTGGAAAATATTGCGAAGAAAGCCCTCATCACCAATAAATGTAAGAGAGAGACCGGAAACGTACACGGTGCACGGTACCATTGCTAGCAACATTCTTTTCTTTTTCGAAAAGTCCCAACGGAAAATTTAGTGCCGGATATAAAGGGGACGTCCTGTTCGCATATCAACATATTATCATTGATACAACCTTTTATTGCATGCTACCAGCACATAACCTTGTCACTTTCTTTTGTAAGATACAAATAGCTTGTGCTTGCAAACAAGCAAGCAATACTGGAAGTCAGATATTCCCAGCGAAGCTACCAACCAACAACAACAAGAAAAGCCCTAAAATCAATATTTTTGCATATCTAAACAGTCGTAATCCTCCCAATGTAGCAAAAGGAGTTGTGAAGCAACCGATGCGCACATTGTTCTGCATGGTCAACAACTACAGCAATGCTTTATATTATACATTCGAAGGTAGACCCTAGGTCCTATCCACTACAACAACTAGTAGGACAAAAAAGACTGTTACAAAAAACAATCTGTTGGGATGTCTAAATAATAGTAGTATTGTTCTGAATCCTCCTCTAGCAGTTATATCAAGGAACAGATGGATGCACGCATTGTCATTGAATTGTCAAAAACAGCAACGACAACAGTTGTTTGTGTGTGTTACAATCAATGATCCTGGACCATCATGCGCGCGGGGCAGACTTGAAGAGAGCGAAGAGCGTGGTCGGTGTATCGTAGTAGTAGAGCTGAGTGCACTCACTCATACACATTCCACTCATCCCTTTCGGGCCCACCAACCAGAAGAGTCCCACCCTTTCTTCTTGTGATAGTCCGAAAGGTGCGAGTAGGCAGCTTGGGCTTCGGAACTGGTGTATGCCCCAATGGTAGCCTTCGCCACTGGCTTGGCCGAGTGTTCGCCCGTTGCCAGCTTTTGTCGCTTGGCATCAGAGGATGATTCCCCAGAAGCAGCTTCGAGTAGCGCTTCATACCTTTTCTTGGAGAGTTCTGAAGCCGCTTGCAGACGGCCATCACCAACCACCAAGAGTGATCGCACCGAGACAATGACACTCTCAATATCATTGATTGGATTCCAACCATCGTTTGTGAGTAGTTCCATACAAAGAGCCCCATTCATGACGAATCCAGTTTGTTTCTTGAATCTGGGTTTGACCACTCTGACAAATGGAGGCGCAAAAGGATATTGATCGGGGAACTTCATTTCAAGTTCCACATGATTTTGTCCCAAGACGAGCATATCCTTTGCTAGATTGGAATCCTTATCAAACTGAAATAGTTTGATAGTCCATTTATCCATGGCATCTTCCGACTGTGGTGCTAGAGAGAATCCAGCATCCTTAGTATCTTGGTTCATGATTCGATACAAATCCTGGGCAAGCCGACGCTTGCTGCCAGAGGTTTCTTTTTGTGCCCGAAGCGACATGCTGACCGCCTCGCGAGTGGGTTCTTTCCACTTCTTCTTTGCGTCGGCAGCAGCTGCTACATTAGGGACGACTGTGTCCTCCTCGACAATGTTAGCAGAAGAAGAAGAAGCGCTGTTGGCTGGAGCAGCAGAAGAGTGACTTGCAGCTGCAGGAGCTGAAAGAAACCCTGAAAAGGCAGCATCTTCATCGTCTTCGTAGGAATATTCAGAAGCATCATCATCGTCCTGATCTTCTTCCTCGTCATTGTCTTGCTCATTCTCACCATTACCTACTGGGATTTCCGCGGGAGACTCTTGCTGGTTGGCCCGGTCGTTGGTGGGTTCCGGAGCTGCAATAATCGCATCGTCTTCCGTTGGTTGGGAAGAGGAGGAGGACGAAGAGTCCAAGACTTCTGCGCCCTGGGACACACAGGAAGCAATGGGTTGTGGTTCCACCAAGGATTGATGACGACGTCCTTGTTTGAGGTCTCGTGAATTAGAAGAGGAGTTGGAAACGTTCATGGTGTTCAGAAAATTGCGGTTCGTTTCGTTTGTACAGCTGGAACCTGGATGAATGATTTGAATATAATTCGATTTGGCTGGTTGGTAGACTTGATTGATTGATTGATTGACTATTAGACTCGTAGTGAAGCAATGCTTTTTGGTAGACTTGATGGAGTTGTAATAGAAAAGATTACAACAAGGAGAAAGACACGGTTTCGTTTACAATTGTATTGAATGAAGATGATGAATAGTTGTAATGCAAACGAATTGAGTGACACACTGTTCCCGTGGCGACGGAGAACTTTCAATCGTTTGCCTGTTGGTGTGTTATGCTCCGGCGGATAACGACTTTGTCCGTATACTGAAGTACCAGAATCGTGTAGAGGGTGAGTTCTGGGAGCACCACGTACTGAGCAGCACTTGCTTTGAAATAAAATATTCCCACCGGAATGAGTACGAATTATACGTACGCATCCAAAATGACTGGCAGCAAAACGCGTTCAAATCAACGCTTGCGATAAAATTTCAAGAATGACGGAATTTCGGAGAGTGGAGTGATGTTTTCCAGGCAACGAACGCGGAAGAAATGTATTGGAGTGCGAGGTGGTGCTGGCGGCTGGTGGGGCTCTGCTGCTGAGAGTGCGTGGGTCAACGGTCAGCATGCATGTTTTCAAAAATATACTAGATTGTTATTCTAGCCATCTCTCGATAGTGTCGTCGTACCGGGAGACAAGCAGCGCTGTCCTCCTCTTTCCGAGATCTTCTTGTTCTAGCTCAAAGACTAGTACCTAGTGCTCCTTCTTCTTCGATGCGGAATGAATGAACAAGCGAAGGGCTTTTGCACCAATTTACAGCTTTTCTTTGGTTATTCTTGTGACACGCTTCCTCAACAAATTAATGTTGTAGTGAAAGGATCACTCTTAGATGCCTCTTGTTGATACCTGTAACTGATGATAATTCTCGTTGTTCTTTTCTTCAGAAAACTCTTACAGCAGCAGAATGCACCAATTGCTTTCTTCAATGCAGAATGAAATCAAACAAAGATCTACCCTTGTCTTTGTTGAGACAAATCCACGCAATGTAATGTATCAGTATCCACAATAGTACAAATCCAAAGATCAAGGTAAAAAATCCTTTGCACTGACACAGAAGATGGCGTCGTCGTTTGTTGGTCTCATGTTTTGTCTTGCTGTTTGGATCATAGGTCAATGGCAATATGGTGGGGGCCAAAGAAATGGAGACAGAGTGAATGCCAAGGCTATTCTGAAGCAGTTGTTTGTGTTGCGGCAATAGCAATGGTACTGATTCAATAGTTGTCGTCGAGTCTTCAGACTGTTGCTGATGGCACGAACCACGATTTTGATCTTGACCTGGCTGAGGAACCTCGGTATACACCGTCATGGGAGAATGATGAATGCCTGGAACCATAATACTAGTGTGTATTGTTGTGCTTCTGCCTAGTTGCAGATGGGTGTAGAGGTTTAGAGTTTTCAGTGGATAAGATGGATAGTCTTGGAATGGATAATAGTGTCACACTTGAGAACGAAAAAAGTAAATCGTGGAGAAGTGCTCCTTGTGGAACCAAAATAACCCGAATTCGATCGTTGAGCAAAATGGTGCGCCTTTTTTTGACCAGTTCGAGTGTATATGGTTTGACACTTTCCAGTGAACAGAGGACAGGCGGTCCACTTGTATCCCAAACATTTTTTTTAAAAAAAAAGCACGCCTGCAAGAAAATTTGGTGACGGGGACACAACTTTCATACCAAACATCGAAAGTCGGGACTTTTGTTCACTGTTGGACACTTTGTAAGGCACAGTAACTTTACCTTTACTTTACGTTTGTACCAAGAAAATTCAAATCTACTCACCACCTTTGGTGCTAATTAATTAATGAATACAAATCACAACCACAATGCCATTGGAAAAGAAAGAAATAGAGGACAATGAGGACCCCGATCAAAAATTCACAGCCTTTGCCAACCGTGGTAATTCAGATTTCAAATGGCAACGGGCGCGGAATGTATTGGGAGTACTGGAAGTCTATTCCGAACCTATTTTAAAACCAAGAGAAGATCTGAAACCTCGACGAGTAAAGGGGAGAGAAACAGCCTTTGAAGAAGCTCTCAAAGCATGGGAAAAGGAAAAACTGAGACAGGACCTGATAGAAGCTTTGGAGAATTTACCAGTGGAGACGTGTTGCTGTGGGTTCATGGAAGATAACGATTCTACGAAAAAGCAACTGGTGAAATTGCTGAATGATTTCTGGGCCAAAAAGGCCAGCAAGAAACTGCAGCGTCACGGGTAAGCAGCATCAAATGGGTTGTATTTGGATGTGTCGTGGGTGTCATGGTGCCCGTTTCAACGTCCTTTTGGTCACGCACTCACATATCATCTCGTCCTTCCTCTTACTCGCGCTGTGTAGATTTAAAGTGGATGCTTTCTTGTGGAATTGGCAAAATGCATCAGGCAAGGCAGAGACGAATATAATACTCATTCGATTTTATATGGTGGCATCCTATGGACTGCGGGCAGCCTCCAGAAGTGGTGGGTTCGACGTTTCGGAACGGACCGAAGAAGTATACAATAATGATTTTACTGGAAACACGCAACGAAGTAAATCAGCAGATATGACATTGGACGACAAATCAGATCATCTAACTCGTTCGGAAAAAAGAAGTAAATCAGTTGATATGGTATTCAACGACAAATCGGGTGAAAAAATTTATGATGCGTAGTAGCGGAGAGAAGGGATACACATAGAGAAACGCTACGGTGTAATAGAGAAACGGTGTAATAGTTTGCTAATACAGCAATACTTGAAAACCTCCTTGGAACTGTCTGGCTTGAATGTCAATTTCCTTTTAGGTGCCAGTAGCAGAAGATTGAATGAATGAATCATGCACCTACCAAATGGTTTTGTATGGATTTCAATTGCCAATTTTGTCTCTCCAACGATCATGATCATTGTATAGATAGGTAGGTGGTAGATACAGTTGTATGTAAAACAGAAGAGGACTGTTGTTGCATGCATCCATTCATGCATGGCTGTGTGTTCGTCGAACTCTCAGATTTTGACGGACATTGTCCGACACTTTTAAAAAGTGCATAGGCAACGACACAAAAAACCAGTTCTAGCTCTCTCAGATTACAAGGAAATCGAATATGATAATACAGAGGCTCTTTTATGTCGGTCTCTGTTGCCAATTGTTTGGGGAGTCTCGTGGGTTTCTCGTCCAAAACCCTCGGTCCTCGCCAGCAGCTGTTTCTTCTTGCAAACAGCACGGAACTTCCTCACCCCTACAACATGCCGATACAGATACTGCGACATTCAACAACTTATTCTCTGAGTTTGAGAACGATCTCAACAGATTGTCACAACTTCGGCCTCCCTTGCCGAGTTCCGACCCCTCTCTTCACGCCACACTAATATCGGCTGGCAGTTCCTACACTCGGCTTTGGACCGCTTCTACATGGGTCCAACACTCCCGGCCTCCCCATTCGCGGTACGCTAGACATATTTGGCGATGGCGGCATTCGTCGACGGCAAAAAAGGTTCTACCTGCAGTTTTGATCTCAACAGCATGGGCTACTCTCGTCTCAGTGTCCCCACATTATTTTAAATGGTCGGAACAAATTTTGGCGTCGGCTGGATCTGTGGCAGCTGCCACTTCGGTCTTATTGGCTCCTTTGGCGCTTTTACTTACGCTGAGAGCAAATTGTAGTCTTGGAAGACTATTAGAGGCGCGTTTACTCTGGGGACGAATGGTATTGCACACTCGCACGTTGGCTAGTTTGATGCAAGTATATTTGTTGCCGCATGCCCCAAAGACGACGCTTGCAGCGGCACGATTGTTGGCTATTTTGAGGTGAGTTGGAGCGGATTATTCTTGAATCAATTGTTCATTCGTTGTAGAAAGATGGGCTCACACGGTAGTGGACTGATGTTAGTTGGCAACTCAAGGCTTACGTTCGAGGTGAATCCGTCGAACTGCAGCGAGAAGCGTTGAATACTACTTTAGACAAAGAGACAGTGGACTGGATACTTGACGAGACGCAACAACCTTATCAGAAATCCATTGTAACGATCCCATCTCGTATTCGGCAATTGTGTCACGCAGCCATGAATCATATGGAGCAAGAAAAGCAACCAAATATTCCTCAATATCAAGTTGAAAATGAGATTTGTAAACTGGAAGAAGTCGTTGGTGGTTGTGAACGTCTGCACAGTAGTCCCATTCCTCCTACCTACAGCCGCCATCTCAGTCGTGTCATGGCATTATTCAATTTGACGTTCCCCATCAGCTTGGTTTCGGCCGGAGTCAATCCGTTTGGAGTCATTGTGGTTTCCATGATTGCTTCATATGTGTTTATTGGCATTGATGAGGTCGGTATGGAGATTGAAAATGCCTTCCAGTTGCTTCCACTACAACAATTAGCAGCTGCTTCTCAAAAGGCAGTCCTAGATCAATTTTTGTTCATGCGAAATGGGCCACCGTTGGTGACAGAAAAATAGGTTATCCATACTGTTTTTTTTAGTAGCTATCTATTATATGGTCCGAGCAAAGGCGCTGCATGTATCATGTAAGAGGATATATCTGATTCGAAGCGTATGCTAGTAGGTATTTGGCAATACATTATCCTGTAAATTCAAACAATTATGATAGTACTGAAAATAGAAATGCCTATTTCTCATGATATTTCGAACCTTATCTTGAAGCTCTAGATGTTGCCATATGCATTCCGTCGACCTGACTCGTACTCGGGGTTGGCGATGTCAAATTGCCATAAATGATATTCTCCTTGTGAGAGCATTCGCTTTTCACAACACACACATGTGAGCAAATTCAGGTAAACAGACAAGACCGACAACAGCTGCTGATTTTCTACTTTTTGTTTGATTCCAGTACAGCCTGTGACTTTGCTATCCTTCGTTTGCGCCACTCTTCATACGTCATGATCGTGCCGTCTTGTTGACCATTGTCATGATCATGATGAAAGTGTAACATTTCCTGTGGTTGCAGTCCGACAAAAAGAGCTAGACAATTTCTGGGAGAGACTCCAGATCCTGGCATGACCCGGTGTAGTGTCGAGGGTAAGCAATTGTTACTGAGTTCTGAAAGACAGTCAGCAATGTTGACCACGAATATCGGGTCTTCTGGAACCATTGGTGGCAAGGTTACGTTGGTCCATTGATCCTCATCGTTGTTTTCATTTGTCGGAGAGGACTTTCGTTGGAGCAAGGCTGAATTGCCACCATCAAAGAGGAGTACGGTAATGACTCCAACGTCGGTGTGTGCTGCTACAAGTGGATGGACATGTCGTTTCTTTTGCGTCTTCTTGTGCCGGGTCCCTTTTCTGTACCCTAGGAGTGTAAGAATCGAGGTGTGGTCCGAAATATCTTTGCTTGCGATTGCTTGCAACGACGATAATGTCGATTGCTGGTCAGGGTTGCTCTGATGCTCTTCGAACATGATGCCATGACAAATTGCTTGAACGATGGAATGTGAAACCTTGCAGATTCGCTCGTAGTAGGTCTCGGTAGCATTCCGAAAAGCTGTACTCGAATGTTCGTCCCATACTTCACTGGAAGGCCACACATTTGGACTGTGCAGCGGACTGGAACTTGGAGTACCACTGCTCGCAGCGGATATCTCCTCCGTCCTTTCAGTTTGCGCTCCAATTTCGGCTATTGTGGTTGGTCCTATGCGGAATTTGCGCACCAAATCGTTCGGACCATCCTCTCCAATCAGCGAGGCAAAGTTCTCGGTGCACATTGGACTGTAACCTCGCCTGGCTCGATCTTTGGTGAGACAGGATCGACGTACTGATTCGTCCGCCTCTTGAAGAAAGGCATGGGTATTGTCCAAGGCATCTTGGCAGACTTGCTGAGACATTCCTGTTCCTTTGACGAGGACGAATCCATCGTATTTGAGTTGGCGGACAATTTCCGAGGCACACTCTCGTTTTACTGCTGCAGCTTCCTGTGACTCCTCTTTTTCATTACCTTGTTGTTGTGAAGAGGAGTCTTTACAATATGCACTCATGTCGACCACAATGGAAGTCGACTTGAAAAATGCACTTTCTGCCATGCTGGAAGTCTGCGGTGCGAATGGAAACGATCGTTTCTGTGGAGGCAATACTTGTAGCTTGGCTTCATCCATTGGCATGTTGTGCCACAGCATTTTCTTGCAGCCCCAGAGCTTGAGGGTACCGTCATACAGTTGATAAATTGAGGTTCCCATGGTCATCTCGCGAAGAGCTTCGATCGAGGTATCTGGCACCAATTCGGAAAAGTGTTTCGTATAGATCTCTTGTGGCACAAAGAATGCGTTGTAGATTGTTGTTTCAATGAGGACATAGTCATTCTGTTCCGCCAACTCGACAAGTGCTGCCAATGAGGAACCGTGACGAATCGTATCGTTACGTGGAGGAATGTAAATGAGGTCGTTGGGCATGGTGGGATTGGCTTCGATGCATACCACTTTCGGTCGATATGTTTGTTCTTTCGATGTTGGTGGATTCCAAATGTCATGCAACAGCCAATAGTCAGAGCCATCCACGTCAATGCTCAAGAAATCAAAGTCCTTCGGAACATGATTCGCCCGATGTTGGAGTATATACAGCAGCGAGTTTTCAGAGTTCACATTGCTGGAAACAGTCGAATGAATGCACAAGTTTCCCAACGGTTCGTGCAATTGTTTCAGGTCATGTATACGGTGAGGATCAGCTTCAATCAACACCCCCTGCCAGCAAGAGTCTGGAGGAGTTAAAAGTGAGTGCGTATTGGACAGATGCTTGCCATCCCACGCGCCAACGTCGACACAGTATCTTGTAGTATTAGTAGTATTGGTATTGGAGGGCGGGATCCTTTGAAAGATTGCCTCAATGATGCCATCTTCTCCGTTTTGTGATGTGATATCTTTTGCGTACTGAATCAGACCATCTTTTCGACGCTGGCTTTTGGGAGTCCGACGTCGAATGGCGGGGGTGCTCATGGTAAGGAAATTTGGATATACGGTGCTACAGTATGTAGATTTGTTTGGTCACACTCCATTCTTTTTGGGATGGATGGACGACTGGTTTTCGGCCAATTGAAACACGAATTCGATTCATATGACTAAACAGGTGCGTATGTCATGTGGTTGCGTTCAACACATCTTCTGTCACCAGAAGAGCAGAAGAGGGGAGAGCAAATAATATCAATCCATCATCGACGTCTTGCACATACATACACAGACAAACACAAGATGACGAAACGATTAATAGCAGCTCTTTGCCTACTGCTTTCAACAGCATCCGCCTTTACAACAGGCAATACCCGTATATTGAACAGGCCTTTGACAACATCGCCATCATCATCGTTGAAATTGGAGACTTCCTCACGACGGAATGCTTCACCAATTATGACCAAACAACGATCTCGGACGACTTCTTCAACGCAACTTCAAATGGGAGCTGTTCCCGTCGGCGCTTTTGCTGGTATTTTGACGGGAGGACTATTTGCAGGAGGACTCCATGCCATTGCCGGTACGTACAATCGAAATCATTGATGGGATTCCGGTTGCGGCCAGACCTCCACGTTGAAGGTCGATTGACGACTTTTTGGTCAATGTTGAAAATTTCTCACCAACTCCATCACTTTTCTGCATCTTTCCCCAACGCTTTTATCTTGCAGGACCCGATCACTTGGCAGCTCTTCTTCCTCGGTGTTGTGGGCAAAGATGGTACAAGGCAGGAAAGGTTGGTGCTTTGTGGGGAATGGGCCATGGAGTATCGGCGATAATTTTGGGAGTTTTGGCATTTGGATTGAAAGCACAGGTCCAAAAAGCACCCGGCGTCAAGTCGCTCTTGACGGGAGCCTCGCACGTGATGGAAATTGCTGTGGGTTTGTCCCTTGTTGTTATCGGAGCCATGGGAATCAAGGAGGCAAAGGAATGGGAAGAAGAAAATCCACCAGGAACAACTGCCAATAGTTTGTCGGCGGCTGCCTCCCCCGAAGTGGGAGTTGCGGAAGCACAAAAACGAGCAGTCATCTTCAATGGACTGCTGCATGGATTTTCTTGGGATGGAGCACCATCGCTGGCACCTGCTTTGGCCGTCGCAAACTGGGGCGGAAACATTGTATTTTTGACGTCCTATGCACTTGGAACCATGGCAACAATGGCCGTTACCACTACGCTTGTCGGAGAAGGAACAAGGCGGGCTGGTGAAATCTTCAATCGCCCTGACATTCCACAAAAGTTGAGCTTCTTTTCGTCGATTCTCGCTATCGTTATCGGTCTTATCTGGTGTGGACTCGCATTGAAGCCATAGCATAAAGATCCTTCATACATACTGAATCAACTAGTACACTAGATACGCTGTTTACAAAAGCATCAAATCAAATCGTACCGGTAGTAGGAGTACCAGGTACAAGTACTTATCCTGCAAACTTTTTCTTGTGACGCCAAACTGAGACTTTTCGCACGTGTTTGCGCGCGGCTGACGACTGCGACCTCAAATGATTTGGCTTCGTTCGACAGTCGACCGAAACTGACCAAAACACTTTGCATTGTCGATTGGATTCACATTATCATTATTCATTGAATTGGAATCAATATACATACCGGTATAGTACACCAGCACACCAGCACACTAGCACACTGAATTCCCAATAAGTTAACTAGGAACAATGTCACGGCCTGAAGAGTTGGTATTGACAACGTTGAAGGCGGTCCTGGATTTGTTCTTGGATGAAAAGTATGAGGAAGCGATTATCAAATGCAGTTTCCTGTTGAGAAAAAAGACCAACTTGGATTCCTCATTGACTACATCGGTCCAAAAGCTTCTATTGTTATGTTACCTGGAACAAGAGGACTATCAAAAGGTGATTGACTGGGTTGATCAAAACAATAATAAACTGTCGGAACTGGGGACATATGCAAAGTACAGAGCAAAGGACTACAGCGCTGTATCCAAGCAAGCGTCCAAGGATTCCATCTTGGAGCGACATTTGCTCGCACAGTCTTACTTTCGCTTGAAGCAAACGAATCCAGCATTAAAGATTTACCAAGAATTATTGAAGGAATCCAAGAGCGATGATGCTCGAATGGAGGTACTGCACAATGCCATTGCGGTTGTTGCGGACAATGCTTCCATACCATTTGTGCCATTGAGCGAGGACGGTCACCAAAAATGGGTCGATCAAGCCGATGAATTTCTTCAAGAGCATCCAGAAAATCACGATTTGGCTTTTAATTTGGGGACTCTACAAGCTCTGTCAGGGAATGCAGATCGAGACTGGTTGGATGAGGCAGAAAAAAACTGTGATGATGACGATGATATTCCAGCGATTGAACACAATCTTGCTTGGAGCCATCATTTCTGGCAAAAGGAAGGCTCGCCGGAAGTGGAATATAGCGACATTGATGCAGATCCAACATCACTGCCGTCCATCTTGGCCAACATTAACAAATCTTTGTTGGATGACAAAGGGAAGCTTCCCTCACAACCAAACCAAAAGTGGAATACCTTGCAAACTCGAATGTACTGGTACAATCGCGCAATCACCCAATACAAGGGAAACAAACTCGTGGAAGCTCAAGAATCCTGCCTGTCTCTCAAGAAAACCCTAGGAGGCGGCGGCGGTGGTGGTGGTGATGAATCATCCAAGAAGAAAAAGGGAACCAAAGCAATGCAATCCATGGCGGACATGTGGTGGGAAGCCAGAGTCGATGTGGTCCTGGCATATGTCCAAGATGCGCAATCCAAAAAGTCTGCGGCGACAGAGAAATTAGAGTCTCGGTTGGAGTTCCTAAAGCAGCAACGGCCAGACTCCTATACCATTGATCATGCCATTGCCCATGTTTCCTTGCATCTATTCTCAATACAAAACGCAACCCGTCGACCAGTGGCAGCCGAGATTGTAACACTTCTCAAAGCTCTTCCTGCCTCTATGCAGTCGCACCAGGCTGTGATTGCCACCATTGATGCCTTGGACGATAGCTCGTCAAAAACTCAAAAGACTCCACTGGAACAAGCAGACATGTTCTTTAGTCAGGGAAAGTACGAGGAAGCTGCAAAACTGTACGCAGCTAATCTAGGTAGTGTAGAACGTTGTGGGGACGACGAGATCCCACATCATCTTCGACATGTTCAGGTCTTGGCCATGGTTGGTCAGCACGACGAATCAGCAGAGTTGTGGTCCAAGATTCAACAAGGTGTGGCAGATGGCTTTGAATCATCATCTTCCAGATTGGACGGCGAGGCATTGGAAAAGCAAGATTTGCCTAGAAGCAGTACAACCAAGTCCATTGATAAACAGCTTGGAGCTGGTGGAATCAATGACAGCAAGCCAACGCGATCTCAAAAGAGCATCCTTCGCCAACGAGCGAAAAGACGAGAGGCATACCTCAAAGAATTGGAGGCCAAGGGCGACTACAACCCTGATCGGCCTGTCAAGCCAAATCCAGAACGATGGATTCCAAAGCACGCACGAAGCAGCAACAAACGCCGAGGTCGACGTGGCGGCGGCGGTAGTGGACCAAATCGTTCGGCACAAGGAGGGGGGTCACAAGCGGACGCACAGAGACTGGATGCTGCGGCTCGAAGGGCTGGTGTTGTTCCTGTTGGTACTGGACCATCAACGGCAAACATGAAGGTACTATCAGATGGTTCCAGAAGAAAACGACGGTAGAAACTATTGATACTTGGCAACAAGATATTTAAAAGATAGAATAATGTTTGCTAGCCCTATCAGGTACTTTGACGTGCCCCAGAACATGTGCAATTTTGCCTAGTTTTGACTAGTATTCATGACCAGCCATGATTGATTTATGCGTCGCAGTATGGTGTTTGTCCCAAATCAATAACGTCTACATGAAGGATTGCTCCCAGGACTCCACCAGCGATAACAACGATGGGAGCTTGGATTCCAAAATAGGCAGCCAAAGTACCAGCGAAGCAAAATACCATGGCATCAGCCGCTGTATGAACAGCGGCTTCCCACAAGATGACGCAAGCAGCCATCACCAACTGAAAAAAAGGGAAAAAGAAACATTGTCAGAAAAATGGATACAGCATGTCGGATCGAAATGCGGGACTTTACTCACACCAATAGCAGTAGCATTGACACCTTTTAGAATGGCCTTGAAGGCCGAGTATTTGCGGAGTGTTGCCCAGAAGGGAACAACGGCGAAAATCAGAATAACTCCTGGTGCAAAGAGACCAACATAAGCGACCAATGCTCCAGGAATTCGTTTGTAGACGGCACCAAGGTAAGAAGCAAAGTTGAACAAAGGACCGGGCATACTTTGAGCCAGACCCAAACCTTGCAAGAAAGTTTCGTCATTCATCCATCGGGGAACAACCTCGTCTTGAAGCATAGGAAGAACGACTTGACCACCACCAAAGATGACACTGCCGATACGGTACATTTTTTCAAATATCTCCAAGTAATCGTTTTCAACTTCATAGACATCCACAAGGATAATCACAAGAATCAATATCGCAAAATAGGATAGCAAAATCAGAAAGCCCACCCAAAGTGGAATACCGATGCGCTTGATAGTTGCGTCGGATTCACGGTCCCATCCAGCAGATGGACTACTATATTTACTCCACGGGTTGGGGCGCTTGTGATCTGTGTAAGGGTGAAGAAAAATTAGATTCATGTGTCAAACAATTTGGAATCATCTGATGAAAGGACTTGTGCTCTTGACGTACCAACAAAAGTGATGAGGCCCCCTACGGCCAAAGTTGTTGGAAATACCCATTGACTGACATTAGGGGGAATTCTATCGTCATTGTTAATCAAAATAGCAATCAAAGCAGAGGCTAGAGACAAGCAGACGCCCAAAGAATCCAGCTTTTTCGAAAATGCATAAGCGGCTTTGAAAACAAGGGAGATGGCGGCAGGAGGGAGACCAGCCAACCAGAATGGTGGATTATCAGGATCAGGGATGAACTCTGCTAAAAGAACACCACATGCTGTAAGAATGATCAATCCAGGGAGATTCCATAGAAAAAAGGCCCTGAGTAAATAATATAGTCAGCGAAATTTGAATATTTTATACAGCAATTCACAAGTCGGTTCAATGCACTCACATTAATCCACCTAGAGGTCCAGCACGACTGAGCGCTGTAGAGACAACAAGTTGGGTCGATGTCGGTCCTGGCAGTCCCTGTCCAATGGCAAAGAGCTCCGTGAACTGTTGTCAAAACAATTTAGATTGTGAGAGATGAAAATGTGTGGACGGATGAATGAGATTTCCAGATACTCACTTGCTCCTCATCTAGCCATCCTCGTTGTTCCACCAGGTGATCCCGAAGAATAGCAACATGAGCTTGTGGTCCACCGAAAGCAACCAATCCAAGTGGCCAAAACGTAGAGAAGACTTCCCACATTCTCTCTCCCCAAGGAGCGTCAGCTGATACAGTTTTCACATTCTTTTTTTCTGTGGCAACTTCTTCATCTTGTCCTTCCGCGTCCCCGTTCTCCTCATTCACGTCATTTTCACCGTTCTCGGCAAAGTGATGCGTAGTTTCAGGTGCCTCTTCTGCTTTTGATTCTTCCTTGTTATCTGCCATGTTTTCGATGATTTGAAAGTGAAAAATGAAAGTGATGTCATGTGACTCAAAATTTTGTTTGGTGGCCGAGATCGCGATGAAAATACTTGGCGTAAAAGTCTACCGAGTATACGGAGAACCCACCGATTTCGAATCTAATTGAATCTTTTGATCATGCCAATAAATAAGTCTCATTTTTCGACGTGGCTGACGTCAATTATATAAAAAATGTCCGAGAAAGAATTTGCTTCTATCGCGATGCATTTCAGACCTGTTGGGTTATCCAGCTTCCTCCCTTCACGTATAGTGAACTGTAAATGTGCAAGAGTATATTTGTGCCTTTTATCTAGTTTACATACTCTATTGAATAGCTGAGTTCAAGGATCCCATCATCAATTTCCAAATGTCATCTCATCCGAGTCAAGAAAAGCGGGAGTACGTGTTGTAACGATGTGAAATACCCACCATCGACTAGGTCTGCTGTAAAATGATGTGCCACAGGCATAAAGAGCGATATTAGAAAGATATGGCTTTCGAGGAGCAATAGAATTGTGCTCTTGAATTTCGGAAGTTCTCCAATGACATATTCAATGGTCATCCAAAGTCCAGCATAGGAAAACAAAAAGAGTTGCCTGCCAAACCATGTCTCACAAAAGCATGTACGACAACAGTTTGGATCGTCGTCCCCTCCTACTTCTTGCAACTGTACTTGCGTCGGCGCAAAGACCATCCACCAAACGTGTTCGTGCTGAAGGCCGCTCACGACAAACGTACCAACCGCCGCCAATGCTCGATTTCCCGTACAAGATCGAATCGGCTTGTAGATTCCCTGTTTTAGATCATTGTGAATAAGATTGTTCCATCGCGAGCCCCAGAATTCCGAGTGCGACGTCGAAAGAAAGAGCGGAAAATCTGTCACGTGGTCATTGAACTGTACTAATGTCAGTATTCCCGCCAATAGAGATACCCCTTTGAGCGAAAGTGCTAGCGATAGATTCATGATGACTGCAATTGGTTGTATGAATTGTTTGACGTGCAGGTAGTCACAGGTTTACGAGAGGACCGAGTGCAGATGACAGGAGGTTAGACAAGCGACTGCTGGGAATAGTCCTATTGGCTGACATCATCTTGCAGTACAAACCGACGTACGTACCCAGCTGTATGAACGCATTGTAAAGATTGGGGAGATCAACTATAAATGTTGTCTGCTGGACATCAACATTGGAATGAAAGGGGCGGTAATCAAAAGGTGCAACGAAGGGGCAAATAATGGACAATAGCAACATCCAATACAAATATTTGAGAACCCCACTTCCAAATACCCGAGGGCTGAGTGGCACCGGCTGCCCAACCTTGTCATACATTGGACGAAGAATGAAACCAACCGAAACCACATAGTTCCATAATGATTCTCGACATTCATCCGGTAGGACACCATGCATCGTTTGAAAGCATCTCAATGGCAGTGTCATGGGAGAGCTGCATAGGCCCAAGCGAAGAGCTGGACTTCGAACGTCGAGCGATTCCATTAAATAGTAAGAAGACCACATTGCAAGAGGCATACAGATACCATAGCCGACCACGTATCCCTGATTAGGTGAGCTTTTGGATTGCTTGACAATGCCGTAGTACATGATGGTGGCAATAATAGATCCAATAATCATTTGGGCAAGAAAGAGCTTTCATTTCGGGCAAACGTCATGAGAACCATGTATAAAATGACGGATCCAACAGCGACAGCAACAGCAACAGCGACAGCGACAGCAACAGCAACAGCAACAGCGACAGCAACAGCAACAGCAACAGCAACAGCAACAGCAAAAGCCTTACAAATATGACCTGGACAAAGAAAATGTAGTTCGGTGGTAGGAAGTGGATTGTTGTATTTTCCCAATCGACCGAAAACAAAGATGCCCTGTCATCGACAAGCAGCTTCTCTTTGAATATCTTGTCCAGACCAATCATCATTCGTTCAGCTGAAGACGGTTCCTGTATAACCGATGGTGGGCATGCCGTAGCGTAACTATGACAATTCTATTTGACACTCTCTCTTATTGTTATCGATGTTCCCAACAGGAGGAGCATACCGGTAGCCCGCCAATGAGCCGTCCGCTCCGTCGACCATCACGACTCCTTGTGTCTTGTTTCTTGTGTCTTGGAGCGATCGATGACGTCATTCTATCTTGGCGCTGATGAAAACGTGAACACAATCGAACCAAGTTCAAAAATTCTGACGTTTCTTCGCACCTCGGATCAATCTTTGGTTTGTGTCCATTCTATTACGTTTCTAATCTGAAACTACTACCTATCTACCATATCACCATGGGAGTTACATTCGAAGAAAATGAAGACAATGAAATTGCAGAAGCAGGAGACCTTGAGGTGCCAAAGCCTCGCCCTCGAATGAACAGACGCCAATCCCGACGTGCATCAATCATGGCTCCTCGCAATCTCGAGCTCGAGGCTCAACAAAAGGCAGCCTTCAAGGAAAAGAAATGGCCATACAACATGTTCAAAGGTTTTGAGACTGACAGGGCGAAATGGATCACCCTCATGGGATGTACCTCCAGTGCTATCGTCCTCGGTGTTCGGTTATATCTGGATACTTATCCCTTGGCCTACGTCATACATAGCATCATTGTGTTCTTTGATATGATTCTCATTCACATGTTCACGAAATCGTCATGGCTATCCATAACAGGGGAAGTCATCACTTATATCCACGTAATTTTGTTCACCCTGACGAAGGAGTCTGTCTGGGAATTGCTAGAAACTGTCTTGTTGGCTGTCCTGTCAAGCATCTACATGATCAACGACCGCAAAAAGGTCATGCAAGAACGTGACCAGAAAGATATGGATTTGGACTCACTTCGGGAACGTGGGGCGTTGCTCCTCCGCAACATTCACCAAATTCATGAAGCCATTGAGGACCATCATGAAGCGACTGGGAAACCAATGCGCGAGTCAATCGTTGTGCAGATGCGAAATGAAAGGAACGCTTTGGCGGCACTCCAAAAGGGGACCCTGAAGGAACCCAGCGGTGATTTGAAGAAAGAAAAGAGCACTGATATCGAATCGACGCAAGGGACAGAAACTGACTCGGACATTGTCGAAGATTCCGAGTTGACACGACAACTGCTACAACCTGGCGAAAATACCTGTTCGGTAAAACAGTTCAAGTCTCGCATCAACACTTTTTTCAAACCTTTCTCTGAGAAAATTGCCTGCACGGAGGAGAAATGCGAGAAAACCAATGAGTTTCGTGAAACATTTTTCGAATATTTCCTTGATGGAGCAGCTGGTGTCATGTACACTAGTTTTTTGGGGCTCGTCATTGATGCTTTCATGAATTACGGAAACAGTCCATACTAAACCAATTTTTCACCTTGTGCCAACCGTTGCATCACCACGATTTTAGCAATTTCAGTTCGACTCACTCCTTGACAATGAGTTATATATTGTCTATGTCATTTGTTGACGCTGGATCTTTCCAGGCAGATGGTTACGCATCCGAAAATTTTTGTTTTCTATTAGTCTTGTACATTTACATATCATTCCTCGAAGCAGTTCAAGAACTAAATTGAAATCGTCGAGCAATTCTATCCTTCTTTGACATACAATGCTGTTGATAATTACAGTACAACGACAGGTCAAATTGAAATTTCTCTTCGACATTTCCATAGTTCACTGAAACCGATGTTTCGTTCGAGTCCATCCCCACGACAGGATAAAAGTTGGTTTTGGACAGGTAGTTCACAGACAATTTGTAAGAAGCATAGCCCCAAAACTTTCCATTCTTGGTTACAAAAATACCCCTTGCGGCGTAGTCGATTCCCATTCCCACTGTATCTCCAGCACCAAACGTTGGTGCGTATCTCAGAAGGTGACCTGAGAAGTGGTACAAACCACCGTTGTCACTGTGGTATCCATAACTCACCCCGTCCCATCCTGGAAGAGTCGATTGGTCGCACTCGGTCGACTCTTCTGCGAGTCCGATAGCGACGCAACCGTGACATGGTCGTCGTTTGGAATCATCATCATTCCTTTGATCTATGATGGTGATTTCAAAGTAAGACACGAGTCTTGGTGTGACATTAATCGCATCGGTCATTTTGTATGGAGCCACAAAGGAACTCCATCTTGGTACCTTGCGAGAGAAAAAATTCTTGGCCTTTCCAATAAAAGTAGCTGGTTTGGAACGGATGAGAGTTGGACGTGGCAATGGATGATTAGCTCTCATTGCACAGACGCATTCGATTCCAGTATGGCTAACTACATCATTATTCCCTTGTGGATTCACTTCTGCCATTGTTGACGGTAGATTCTTTGGTATTTTCGAAAGAAGGAATGGGAGGTTGACTCCGTTGTATCTTGGATATGGATTCGGCAGTGCACTTGCATTTGGGATCTTGAGGTCGTCCTTCAGACAGAGAAATGGTGCCATGAGAGCTTGTGAATGCTCCGGCCCGAAAAGTCTGCTTGTTTGTGATGCCCATATAGAATGACCATCTTCAGCTGTAAGGAGGTACCGAATTGTTCGGTTCGCAGCCATCAAGGCACGGAGAGAAGGTACATCCAAAAAGGAAAAGACCTCCAGCAGCATGTCAGACGGTATACTCTCGACTGCGACGGTGGACTGTGAAGAATCATCACACGAGGTTGAGTCTTCAGGACGTTTCCATGTGATTTGCCCACTCGATGAGGCTAGAAGGTGAATAGGCCTACTACCGCCCCGATTGCTCTTCCTCCTCGTCGCGGCATAACATATTTCATCACACTCGCTTATTTTCACAGCTTTTGAACCAGATGAAGAGTGGTCGATCTTGTACGAGATTTGTCGCACCATGGTACGACGACGCTTTCTTTTCTTTCTTTGATGCTTTCCATTTTCAGAGACGAGAATATCAAGAACGAGAAGTTTGTGAATTTTTTAATCAGATTTTAGCAATGCGTTGGCCTTTAGTAATGTATTTTTTGTCTCTTTCCACATTGCTCCTGTGGCAACCTGTTGCCTCTTTCTGTCGATCTCGAATAGTCGCCTGCTTTCTTCAGCTGCTGAATGCCATGCATAGAAATCTGATAACTTCAGCGGCTACACGATCTGGCGGCTTGGAGGGTCGTACATATCTTGATCCAGCATGCCTTCGCCAAGTGGGTTATCTTCATGATGTCTCCTCCGGTGCAACCCATTCAAAGACGGAAAACGACTTTCTCTAATTTCCTCACCTATTCGTTGGCGGTACGATCTGAACCATTCGCTGATATCGGATACTTCGAAGCCTTGTAATATTGTAGACGGTCTTTCATGTGGTGGGCAGTACCCGCTTGTAAAGGCATAAGGATCTCGAGGCATGTTGTTTAGCATTTCGAAACCCAGAATGAAGAAGGAAAAACCAGAGATAACAGTCCCCATGGCACCAGGTCCTGGAACACATTCATACTTCTCGCATACACCAACCACAAGGAAAAGTAGGGTGCAGAGTTGCGAGACTCCGGACATGACTGCAAGAACCACTGCGACCTCCCATATTTTTTTCTTAGCATATCCGAGGATTAAATACGCAAACAAAACTGCAAGTGCAAGGGTACCTCCCATGATCCCAATAACACCGGCAAGTCGTGGAATCACTGTAGCATCTGCCTCGTCATCGTAACCGTATGAAGTGCAGGATACGCCGCTGTCGCCTCCAGGTGAGTACCTCCAGAGACCGTATCTCAATTTTTCCTCAAAGAAGACACCAGAGGCATCGTCATCTCCAGCGTATCCCACAATGTTAGCTGTAAAGAATGCACAAGATGCTTGGGCCCATACACTTGCAAACAATCCGGAGAATAAGGACAGGAACCCGACGCCGAGGAGGTGGACAACGCGGACACGTTTGTCAACAAGTGCAGCTCTAATTGCCGACTCATCTTCTTCCGACCCATTTGTGGCTAGATTAGTATAAAGATAAAATGCATGAGTAAAGGCTTCCATTCGTAGTATTCCGTTCTCGCTGCTGTCGACGTACCGGTACCGTTGTTACGTGAATCAGGCATCGAATTTGATATTTCCATCTGGCAACGTGTTGGACTGCGATTTTGCCCCTCAATTGTATTTACTAAATGAGTAGCTTCTGAAGAAAGCTCTTTTTGTTGGCTCAATCCAGCGTTGTCATTTGCCATCGCCGCCATCATCTGTTGGCCAGATGGTTCTTCACCAGAATTGTCAGAAGTATTAGACATGACTGACAATACAGCTTCCAAAGCAGAATTTGAAGTTTCTTGTTTGAACGTGATTTTGTTTGATGCCTCTGATGATGACGAATCCATCAAGCTGCTGGCTGATCCGAGTCCAAGATTCAAAGATGTTGCTGGACTTGGTGGATCCCATCCACCATCACCACTGCCTCCTGAAATTGCTGATACTGGTGTTTGACAATCGGATGATCCATCTATTATTCCTGAATCTCTAGAACCAGACATTGCAACCAAGAAATGAGGAACTCCAGGAGCATTGTCTGGTGTCATGTTTACGAGAGGGCCATTGAGGACTGGCTCGAACGAAAGATTCTGTTTGTCAGCTGGGACAATAGTTTCTCCATTGCAAGCTCCTTGTAGCTTTTGACTTTGCGATAGCTTCTGGCCATCCTCAGCGCATGGATTTCCCTGTTCACCGTCAATTGTCATGGTGTTTGTGGGAGACAGCAACGTTGGTACCGGTAAGCAAAAAGTTGTGAGAAAACTAGCATTGATTTTTGAACATGTGTCACATGTGTCGCAGATGACATCACAGACAAATTCAAAACCGAACTTGAAACACACGTCTGGCCTTCATCTGAGCGTCTTGCTTTCGTCCGACGGTACTCAGTGGCGGGCCAACTTCATCGGTACTGAAGATCACACTGTTTAGATGATTCCTACCATAGGTACTGTTAGCACAAATGAATAATAATCAAACACTGGGCCTATTATTACACTCTACTGTATGTTCCTGCATCTTGTTTATCTATCTATCTCTATTATTCGTTAAAAGCGCAGTCAAAAGGTGTCTTCAGCAGATACTCGTCTAGATCCAATTCAAGATTCTTCTTCCCATCTGCAAGCATCCACGAGGGAACTTGATCTTCTTCGTATAGCTCGCTCAGTTTTGCCTTTTTCCTTCCAGACAAGAACTGAATCTTTGCTTTCGTTTTGCTTCCAATGAATGGTTGGAAGATTTTCCAAAATAATGAAAACGACATTGGAGTATCAAGTAGGAAAATTCGATGGATTTGTCCTGCATAGTGATTCCGTAGTGTAGTAAGAAACTGCTTTGCGATGTCCCGAGGTGGTGCATGTTTGGTGACAGCAAACCCTGAAAAGTCTACCACGGCATTGATTAGCCCATCTTCAGACTTTGAGCATGCAATAGCTCGTTCAATGGAGTATACAGCCTCTTTCAACGTCCATTCCGAGTCATGACCTTGGGTCAAACGCGGAATGAAGAACAAGGTTGACCTCCCTGATTTGTCGTAACCTTGGACATACATTTTCTTGCTCTCCATTTGTTTCCGAAGACTTGTGGCATAATTACCACTTGGGCCGTCATCGAAGGACTTGACTAATCCAACAATGTCCATTCTTTTCCGGAATGATAAGGTCGCCTTCAACTTATTCAAGGCAGATGTGACGGTCTTCTTGGACCTAACATATCGCAGTATTATTCTCTTCGCGTAATGCTCCCGTTTTGCGACTTCAGGGCGCTTCACGTACTCGTAGCATGCGAGGGCTGCGGTTTCAATCTCATCGGGGGTAAGCTTTGACAGCACGAATTGAATACCTTCATGCTCTTCCTTCGTTACTGATGATTCTTCATGGTCATTCCCGGCAACATCGAGTGGCGCATCCTCTGGAAGCGATGAGGCAGACGTATCACATTCGTGTTTATCTCTATCATGGAATAAAGAGTCCTCCTGTTCAACTTTGTGCATCGTTTCGATAATATCAGTGATGGAGTTAAATTTGTGAGTAGCGTTATGGCCATCAAGCAGTTTTCACACGATAGACGCGGAACTAGCAAAAGCTTCTCATTTTCACCAGCTCACTAGAACCACGAAAGAAGCGGGATTGAGCACTTCCAACTTCCGACCAAGCTTGCAAAATGAAAAGCGGTGAATGGAGCTATATAAAAAGTGGAAATTCTGTTCGAATTCCCCCTTTTATTCCGTGCTGAAACAGTTGGGCGCGGGCGCCCGATCAGATGACCAAAGTAACCCGGATATACAATGATGACACTATTGCAAAATCGTTAACCGAATCATTCAACACCATAAAGCACTTGTTTTCACCAGCTTCCTCATGGCGAACAAGAAACTAAACCGAGAGCAAGAGATAAAGAAGAGATTGATGATGAAAGCTGCTTGAAGCAGTTAGCACTTATGATGTGTTTTTCTTCTAATCCAACGAAGCGAAGCCACAGCCGCAAGCGAGGAGTCGGACCCCAAAACCGAGCCATCAAATGATAAAAGACAAGATTGAAACTGAAGCAGAGGAAGAAACATACGTTTCGCCAACAATCTACCGCCGTGGGGGCTGAAACGAACGAGCTGGATACTACTGGAGTCAGTGTTGCGGAGTCAGTGTTGCGGAGTCAGCGTTGCCCGCAAGTGGAATAATATTGCTTTGCTTTCTCCTTGCTCGTTGGCTTCGAAGATCGGCATGAGCGCTGTCGTCCACTGTGCAGACTGAAAAAATGAGAGCATCTAAGATTTTCAGACGACGAAGCGGATGGAGGCAAACTCTTGCCAGCAAATGAAATGAGGTTGATTTGTCAATCTTCTAGTTGGCTTGCAAATCAGCATCGGCGCTGCCTGTCATCAAGTGACCAGAGTGAAAGAAATCAGAACTGGGGAGATTTCAGGCGAATGGTGTGAGATACCAAGAATGCACAGCATATGAAGGCACTTGCGACTGTAGCTGAGGCAATACAAGGTTTCAGGGGTAGCAGCAGCAATTGCTTGGCGAAAATTCTCCAATGATTGATACCTACAAGCCAGCATGCTTCCTCAAAATAGCGCTCAAAGGTGATACATGGAAGAATAATGAGGAATATGACAACCCGCCTTGCAAATCAAATATGACGAAAACCTACAGATCATGGCTAAATGATTGGTGTGCGCTTTTGCTTGCCCTATCAGGAGTAATAATGACCAGGTTTCCAGTTGTGTCTAGGCAACGAGCTCCTCCATGACATCCACAACAATATAGAATACAATATATTAACATTCGACTACAAAATTCAATCTAATTCTAAGCCAGTGTAGAGTTGAATTGTCATGTGGTGAGGTTTGGTATGACTATCGTCGTCTGCACTTCGTTCATCCAATTTGCGAGTTTATTGTGAAAGTACTTTGATAGATCCAAATCCATGCTAAACATTCACACTAAACAAGGTCACAGCACCGCACCGTTGCCGTCCTGTAGTCCGGTATTTGAGGTATAGAGTACATGAGAATTTTTTTTATTCCTTTTATTGCACTCCACTGGATACCTTGCTACTAGCAAAGTTTTCCGCTGCTGCTACAACGGCCTCAACGTCGGAACATTCAGGAGCTTGTCCCTGGGCATTTTCAGGTCTGCCGCCACCACGGCCTCCGCAAACCTCGAGTGTCGCTCGGATCCACTCATCAGCCTTCAGTCCGTTCTCAATGGCAGATGTTGGAACCAATGCAAAGGCAGCGATCTTGCCTCCACTTCCAACTTCCTCTTCACTCAATCCGAGGAAGGCAAGTTCGGGGGCAATCTTCTTAACAGCGTTTGTGATCTTTTGCGACGCTTTGGAATCAGCAGCAATGTCAACATTCAGTACCAGTGTCTTGCGTCCTGCAGCAATTGCTTCTTCCACCTCTTCCTTTACGACATTCATAATCTTGTCGACACGCTGGGCGAGTGCTGCCTTCTTGGCTTCATTTGCCTTCTTCTGGATTCCTTCTATCCGAGCTCTCAATTCAGCTTTGACAACAGCTGAAATGAATGCTGCATCAACATCCTTTCGAACGGCTCCAGCCTGCTTGTCAAGATCAGGAGTATCGACACCTAGCGCTTCAACCTCGGCAACAAGAGTTTCAAACTTCTCGCCTTCTTTTTTGGCCTGTACAGCAGCATCTCTAGTGACGGCAGAAATACGACGAATGCCCTTGGCAACCGCAGTTTCTTCCACCAAGACGAAAGCCTCAGCTTCGGCAGTGTTGGAGATGTGTGTTCCTCCGCAGAATTCGATGGAGGTGTCATCGCCAACCGAAACGACGCGGACTGGATCAGGATACACCTCTCCGAACACAGCGCGAACACCATCAATTTCTTGAGCTTCTGCCAGGGGCATAGTCTTTGCGGTTACCGAAAGTGAGTCAGCAACAACTTTTTGGCAAATTTCTTCCGTTTTTCGTAGCTGATCAATGTTCATGGCCTTCTTGTTACTAAAATCAAATCGTAGCTTTTCATCATTGCACAGACTACCACGTTGTTCAACGCTATCGCCCAGCACTTCGCGTAGAGCAGCATTAAGGACATGTGTCATCGAATGGTTTGGAGCGATTTGACGTCTTCTGTCGTAGTCAACGCGGCAGTTAACGACAGCTCCAACTTCCAATGTTCCCTCTTCCAGGAGTCCACTGTGAAGAAGGAAGCCACCATAGGATTGCACGTCACGGACATCGAACAATCCAACAACATCTCCTGCCTCATCGAGGATTCGGAGTGTCCCCAAATCGGCTTCCTGACCACCAGCTTCAGCGTAGAAACTAGATTTATCCAACACAAGTCCAACAAAATCACCAGGTTGGGCTGCGGATCCCTTCTCCACGAAACCGTCGGGGCCGTAAATGGACATGACAGTTGCAGGAAGTTCTACATCCCACTTGTATTTGAAGCTATCGTCGGTAGCCAAGACACCATCGTCACTCAACGCTGCGGTCTGTTCGGCAATCAACTCTAGTCTTGGTGCTCCACCAGACTTTGCAGCTGCCCGCGCTTCTCGGGATCGTTTCTTTTGTGCCTCCATCTCGTTGGCAAATCCTTTGACATCGACACTGAGGCCAGCTTCTTCTGCCATTAACTCAGTCAAGTCAATCGGGAAACCAAGTGTATCATAAAGATAGAAAGCCTTGTCTCCAGTAACAACATCTCCTCCATCGGCCTTGACTTCATCTTCAAGCTCACTAAAGTATTTGATACCCCGATCCAACATATTGGAGAAAGCTTGTTCTTCTTCGGCAATGACCTCTATGATGATGTCCTTCTTTTCGACCAGTTCAGGGTAAGCTCCGCCGAATACGTCGACGACAGTTGGGATGAGTTCCTGGAAGAAACCTGGGGGTGCCTTCAAGATTTGTTGACCGTATCTAGTGGCACGACGCAAGACTCTGCGCAGAACGTATCCGCGGCCCTCATTGTTGGGAACAGCACCATCGGCAATGGCAAATGAAAGAGTTCTGATGTGATCCGCAATAGCGCGGTATGCAGTATCCTTGACGGTCACATCTTCTTCTCCGAGCTTTCCCTCGTAGGGACCCACTTTAGAAAATTCTTCCAGCTTCTTAAAAATCGGTTGGAAAGCGTCAATGTCATAGTTGGAGCTTTGGTTCTGGAGGATACTGACCAAGCGCTCCAATCCCATACCAGTATCAATATGTTTTTGCGGCAACTGTGCCAATCCCTTTTCGTCTCTATTGTATTGAATGAAAACAATGTTCCAAATTTCGATGACATCTGGGTCATCAGCGTTCACAAGTGCGGAAGCATCGCGTCCTCCAATTCGGTCATAGTGAATCTCACTGCATGGACCACACGGGCCAGTGTCACCCATCTATCCAATGAAAATAGTCAATGTTTAGACGTGCAACAAAGCATCACTCAAGGCATCAAGTCAAAGTCTTACCTCCCAAAAGTTATCTGCGGCATTACAGCCGATCACCCTGTCCGCTGGGAGATACTTCAACCAAAACTCTTTCGCCTCGACATCCTCGCCAACACTTTCGTCTCCTTCAAAGTAAGTAGCGTACAATCTCTCTGGGTCTAGCTTGTATACCTCCGTGAGCAACTTCCAAGCCATATCAATCGCTTCCTCCTTGAAATAATCTCCGAAAGACCAAGTTCCAAGCATCTCAAAGAAAGTGTGATGGTATGTGTCTCGGCCGACATCTTCCAAATCGTTGTGCTTTCCACCAGCTCGGATGCACTTTTGTGAATTGGTCGCACGCTTGAGCGATGCTAGAGGGCTGTTAGGATCGACTTGTCCCAAAAAGATTGGTTTGAACTGGTTCATTCCAGCGTTGGTGAACAGAAGGGTTGGGTCGTTCAAAGGCGCACATGGAGAACTTGGAGTCATCACGTGATCTTTCTCTTCAAAGAACTCCACAAAGGTGGAACGGACTTTGTCGGTTGTCCATTCGATGTCTGCACTCGCTGATAGTGTTCGGAATCGAGAACCCACCACACGGGAATGGCGTGGAATGAATGATCGCACTCTTGAAACCAAACACAACATGGCCAAAAAGTGAACAGTAGAGAAACGCATGTCCAGGACTACGAGTCTATTCTCGCGTGCTCCTGCAATGAAGCTTCTGAGTATTCCAAACTCACGAGTTTATAGGTCGATAGGTCCCTTTCCGAAGAAGGTAGAAACCTAGTTGAGCGAAGATGAGGAGTATCTAGGCTCGATCACGATGATGATGGGAGGAGATGACGGATGACGATTGATAGAATTTGACTCAGCTTGCAAAAACGCGCGAAATGACGTGCGTCAGAAGGTATGAAGCACTAAGCCAGTACTGTATCCATGACACTGAACAACTCAATCTGCAGTGTTGCCTCCTTGTCTATTATTATTGTTGGCTGTGACGAATCGTCGTCGTCACAAAATGTTTGTCATGACAACAAACTTTGCATCGATCGCGCGAAGGGAATGACTTGTTCCCGTCTCACGAAGACGCTCGCCGGTGGCTCAATTTGGACTCACCCATCCTCCGCAATCGTCGAAAATTTACCCATGAGAGACAAGGTTGACGGGAAACAAGATCTCACCTTGTTTGGAGGAAGCATTGCGTCAAGTTCTTCTCATGTTTGAGGTTCTACCCACATCAGTGTATACCGTGTCCTAGACATCTCCAGCTATGCGGTGCTGAAGGTACGAGAAAGCCACTGATGGAAGTTTTGCAGGTATAATTTCGAGGCTATTGTCATTTCTAAGTGTCGTAGGAGAACGTTTCTTCTACTACTAAAAGAGACGGCATTTGGCCCTTGTGTCAGCTTCATGGACTAGAAAAAGACACTTCCTGCAATCACAAGGAGGGCAAATACATGGGATGTCTTTACTCCTGAAGACTCGGCGTGTGCATGGTCGTGTTCAAGAGTACATGCAGCATCGTAAGAGAAACCACTGACAGTCATCGCAGTAGGCGTGAAGGGAAGAGTCGACTCGAACACATCGATCTCGCCTTCTTCAACGTGCGTTAGGCCAATGGCATACATAGAGCGAGTACCTGGAGTCGCCACAAAGGCCTGGCCAATACCTGCCGTGAAGGTCGCTTCGGAGCAAGCCGACATGTTGGGAACGATCTCTTTCTTGGCAACTTGAGTGAAGGATCCATCGGCAATCTCGAATACATGTAGGACGCCGTTAGGCAACAAGACCAGAAGATGCTCCCCTGTTCCGACTTCGAACTGGTAAGCACACTGACGAGAATCCGAGGGCAAAGTAAGAATGTTCGATTCTCCAATGGATGTCGAGGATGGAGAAAATGCCGCGAGATGGAATTCGGTACCACCACTGACTGTGTAACTCCCAACAATGTAATGTGAGTTCTTGTGGTAGGCGAAGCTTCCAATGCGAAAGCTGTCATACTTCTCATCCGGAGGGTAGGTGATTGCCCTGGAAGTATAGCCCCCGCCTTGAGGATCGTACTCAACAACAACAATACCCCCGTGCACATCGTCACAGGCAAGTACAAAAGTGTTTTCAACGGAAGCGCTTCCATGAAAACCCGAACAATGAGTGTCGGGGTTAGAAGTATCCGAGAGTTCATGAAGAATATTTCCGTCATAGTCAACGACTTGGAACGTGGAAGGAAGGGATGAAGTTCCGGGAACGCGGTCGACGCGGTCTTTGAGAGCCACAGAGTGGAGCAAGTGATTATCGTCGACAGGGATCGCCACACCGTGGTGAGTACCTTGGAGAACTCGAGAGTGAACGATCGCGCTCCCAGATGATCCAAGCATGGTTTCATCCAAAACGTGGACGGTAGTATTGACTTGAGGATCGGTACTAAAGGAACCATCGCAAAAGATCGCGATCTTGTCGTCATTACGGACTTGATGGATGGGGCGGGCACATTCGTCGATAATGGCATTTGAAACGATCGAAGGATCCGTGTATTCAACGTGGCCGTGGTCACCGTGAGAATCGTGCGAGAAGCCTGTGTTGATAACCCGAACAAAGCCATCCTGGTAGCCTAGTCCTTCTTGACCACGGTACTGTACAATAAGTGGGTCACCTGGTGGCCCGTAATACACAAGCTGTCCGGCACCGACACTTGGAAGCATCATGGTGGTCTCCTCTGTTAAATCTTGTAGTTTGCCCTCGGAAACATCAAAGACATGAATCAGCGCACTCTGATTATCCGTCACGTACAGCTTACCGTGGGTGCACTCGTCCTCATGAGTTTGACTGTGGATTTTCAAAGGGACGAGAGCGTAAAGAAGAGCCTGAACGGCAAGTGGAGAAATCCTCATAGTTCTTCAAACAAAAGGCTCAAAATGCGAGAGACTGATTTGTGAGTTCTCGAGAGATGCAAGCCGCCTGCGATCATTGGAAAATTTGGGCCTGATAGCCTAATACGAAATTAGGCTAGCCTGGCCTGGCCTTAAATAGGCCTTTCGCCCGTGAAGTCTAGCCTGTGCGGCATCGACAGAATCACGTTCTCATTTTTATAACCTAAACAGGAAAGCGAAACCAAAAACAAACGTTGCTGAAATCGCAGATCACAAGCAGGACGATTCACATACTCGTGACATTACAGTCAAATACCAGGAAGCACTTCTCATGACTTCGGCTACCTTTGTTTGCGAGGACGACTTTGACTGTTTCCCAAACGGCAGTTGTGGTTCTGACCTTCGCTGTCTTTGCGACACTGGCTTCTATGGAGTGCAATGTGAGGACACATGCCCCATCAAGTGCCAAAACGGAGGGCAGTGCGTGGTGGATGATGCACATGTGGTGGTGCTAGATGCCAGATGCGACTGTCCGCCCGATTTCCTAGGAGGTCTTTGCGAACAACCACGACAAAACAGCGCTGGCGCCTTGCGGTCGAGCCAAGAAGCATCTTCAAACGCAGGCACGATGGTAGGAATTACCCTCGCGGCAGTCGCTGTGAGTGGTCTGCTCTTGGTGGCTGGGGTATGGCGCCGCCGCCGTCTTCAGACTAGCAAGGAGTTCACTCCCACAGAGGAGGAAGTAGCAGACGAAGACCTCCCTTCTGTAACTTAATTTAATAATAGACCCAGATCTGACTAGAATAGCATGAAACTAGGTTCGTCCTAATGAAAAGGAGTAATTTTGTGCGGGTGTGTGAGACTGCGATGATGAGAATTAGCATGAACATAAAACACTAAAAAAGTATCTTTTTGGCGATGCCTTCGCGATAATCTTCAAATAACCGCCGATCGAACATCATCATCCGTATCTATCATCGTCCCTTTCGAGGTGATTGACTCTGAAGAGATGGCTACCACGTCCTTTCTACTACAACGCTTTGATCCAAAGCTATGTGAGCAATGTAAGTGAGAAACGCGTCGAAATGCCCTTGCTGGAGAGTCTTGGATTGCTCACACTCCCGATTGTTCTTCACAACTGACACAGATCTTGAAGAAGCCATGCTTCAGCTGCGCAAGGAAGCAAAAGAAGCAGCGTTTCAAGAAACCCAACAACTAGCTTGTTTACAGCTGTTACTTAGACATAAGTCAGTATCTTACAAGAGGAAAAAATCTCGGGCAATCGCCGTTCTAGACAATCAAAACAAAAAATTTATCAAATTCTATACTGCATCGCTTTGCAAGTTTATCCTCGACAATATGCTAGTTATAAGATACAAAGAGCCCCATTCTGAGGTTATGGTGTCGATTGAAGCATTAATATTCTGCTCGAAACGAATCAGTTCGGTTGCAGCCTTTTCATCAGTCCGGAAACAGTTCCGGCGTCATTTTGGCAGAAGATTTGTTACAAGAGCGGTTGGGAATGCAAATGTCAGTGTCCACGATTCCATCGTATTGAGATTATCTGATAGTTATGCCACAGAAAAGCGTATTGATGCTCTTATTTCGGCAGTGCGCGACATCTCTACTACTCCTACTGCTCCTACTGCTCCTACTGCTCCTACTACTGAAGATCGACGACCAGCAGCCCAACAGCATGCCAATAATGGCGACACCAAAACGAAGATTCAGAGTAACCAATCCTTTGAAATCTCATTCGCAGCTGTGACAGGTCTCGAAGAGGAAAAAGAAACGTCGGAAGATTGGGAGAAGCTTCCAACTGCGTTTGGTGCCTCCCCATTGTCGATTTCGCCTTCTGTTCAGATTTCTGTGAAGAAACGTGAGGTCAGGAAAAGTGGCGTGGCTTCATTCTCTCCAACGCTTCCGATATACGTTTTTCAGGCCAATTCAAGTCTGGAGATCGGATTTGATGCTAGAACGAGAAACCCATTGTACGTGCTTCAAAGGCTAAGTGGAAATTTGCAACACGGGTCGAAACCAAAGACACGGCCAACATTCTACGAGGATAATCGATTGCCTGAGGTTTACCGCTCCAAATTTCATCACTACTTTCGTAGTGGCTACGATAGAGGACATCTGGCTCCGGCTGCCGACTATGCTGGAGAAAAGTATGCTGATACGTTTACATTGAGCAACATTTCACCGCAGGTGCATAGTATGAATTGCACAATATGGGCAAAGTTGGAAAACTGGTGTAGAAGCGTCGCAAAAATTGAATATCAAAGCTACAAGGCGCAAACCTATGTTGTAACTGGACCTCTCTGGAAACCGAAGGTCCAAACGGGAAGCAACAGGTTTGGATTTTCTTTCCCAGCGATTGGTTCGTCTTCGACATCTTTGGTCCAGGTGCCAACTCATTTCTTCAAGATAATTGTGGTGGTATCGGATGATACAATCTGTAAGTTTGGTTGCTTCGTCGTCCCAAACGAAGAGGTTGATGAAACAGACGCTGGCTCGCTACTGCATTACGTTGCCAATTGGACTGATGTCGAAGCAATGTCTGGTATGAAATTCTTTCCCAATTTGACGAGTGACGATGGCTGGAAAGAACGGGCAGATTTGTTAGCACAGCAAATAGGCCAAGGGAAATGGGCTCACACTCCGAGTCCAAAGAACCCATCACCATTCAAACGAAAGAACAAGATTAGGTCCTCTTCGGAGTCCTCCTCAACATTGGAACATCTGGTTGTGTAGTATCGGGACGAGGACTAAGCTTGCAGAGGTCTTTGTGGGTATCCCTGGCATAAAACATGTGGTATCATGAATAGTATAGTAAGTATTATGCGACGATAAGTGTATAGTCCAGCAGATTGTGACGCAGTAGTCTAAAAAAATAATAAGGTTGATGGAGCTGAAAAAGTGTTTTATTCGTGTTGTAGAAAGCAATAAAAATCGCGCTTCGAATAGTGATGAGTGTCGAACAACAGCCAGTGGACTACGATGTGGTAACCTACAGCTAGAGTACTTTCTCCATTTGATACGCCGCCGCTTTTGGTGATGCATAGAGCTCCAAGGTCGACTGGACACTTGGCTCTTAACAAAACCGATGCCTCAAAGTTTCGTCTTCAACACAGTCTTGACGCTATGGCTGATTTTGACGATTGCTTTCGTTTTGTCGCAAGTTGTACTGTTCTTCCATCTTCAACCACTCGGTCTACCAAAGGGTCAGGATCATTTTTCCATACATGTCCATTCCAGTTTCGATTCTTCCCAGTATGAACGATCATGTCGAGACTTGTTTGGAGTCGATGCCATCAAAAAGACACATGAAGGCAGGTGTCTCGAACATTCCGTGCTGAAATGGATTTCCTGTAATATTGGTCCTATCTCGATCGACACGTCCAAGATTGAAGGTGCGTTGGGAGGAGAACCGATTCAAAATGTCTTGAACAGAAAGGTCGAAGATGAGTTTCTCAACTTCACAACTGGCTCATTACACTTATTGGAACACCCCTTGTTCGAGGATCTCTCGTCACAAGTTGTCGATCCAATAATCGCATCATTTTTGCATTCATCGGTTTTGACCAGACCAATCGGCGTCCAAAGCATTTCTGTAGGGAAAATGATGTCTGGTACAACACTGTTGGTTCGGCGTGGCTCGTATGCAAACCCATGCATGGCAATCATTTCAATGTATAATGTATTTGTAGTCCAAAGGTTACTTGTGGACAACTTAGAGAAGAGGACTAAAATTATATGGTTAGATGGTCATGCATTCAACAAAAATCTGGATGAAGTTTGGGAGCACCTCTTTCAAACAAAGCCAATCCATGTCAAGCAACTGAGTGATTCGCAGAGCAAGATGGACAATGCACTAGTAGTTAATACCGTATCTGCTATGGGTGATGAAGGGCTAGGGATATATGGGTGGGAAACAGGTGTCCCTGGTTCAACAAGTGATCCAGCTTTGTGCTCAAACTCAACCTTGCGGATGTTTCGAGATTTTGTATTTGAAAGATATGACATAAACCAAAGAACAAAAAGCGTTGGTGTTTCATCTTGCCGCTTGACTCTACTATTTCGCAAGCACCATTTTGCACACCCACGGTCGACTGGACGAACGGATAGAGTGCTGGCAAATCTAACTGATGACATTGACTACATTCAGGCAGAATACCCTGACTGTAAGGTGACTCCAGCTTCATTTGAAGATATTTCTTTTCAAGAGCAGCTGAAGATCACTTCGCAGAGTGATGTCTTTGTGTCGGTCCATGGAGCTGGCAACATTCACGTGCTATTCCTACCACCACATGCGAAGATAGTGGAGTTCTTTCCCAAAGGATTCACTCGCAGGCTGAGGTTTCAGTATCTTGCTGAATGTCTGGGAATATCATACGACGCGAGGAAAGCCAAAATAGTGGAAAGGTTTGACGACAACAAGATTTCAGTTCGACTTAGACCACAAATTTGATTTTGTAATGGAACTAATATTAAAATAGATGGTACAGCTCTACGGTAGTAGATTTATATGCCTATCTAAGATAGCCTACTGCCGTCCTCCGTGTGTGTGTTCGTAGTATTTTGTCTTGGTGTGTAGCTGGTGGGTTGTGGTGTGAAGCGGGTCGAACTGATCGAGTAATAGACTCGATTCGTTCGACCAATCTCAGAAATCCCGTGTGCGGTATTACTGAGATCTGCTTTCCTACCAGGCACCGCCGATATGGTAAAATGGAGGCGGTGCCCAACAGGGCGGGTGAGGTTTGGGAGAGAAAAATTGAATTACCGCGACACAAGTGGGTGAATTCAATCTCAGTCGATAAACTGGGCATCATTGCCTGGGCGCATCGACAACAACTTTTGACGGTCGAAGGCCGTTCGGCCTTTGTCCGTCTGTAACACAATGTAGTCAAAGAAATCGAACAGTGTGCCTGCGGTCTACGTTGGACTATCTAAGATAGCCTACTGCCGTCCTCCGTGTGTGTGTTCGTAGTATTTTGTCTTGGTGTGTAGCTGGTGGGTTGTGGTGTGAAGCGGGTCGAACTGATCGAGTAATAGACTCGATTCGTTCGACCAATCTCAGAAATCCCGTGTGCGGTATTACTGAGATCTGCTTTCCTACCAGGCACCGCCGATATGGTAGAATGGAGGCGGTGCCCAACAGGGCGGGTGAGGTTTGGGAGAGAAAAATTGAATTACCACAACACAAGTGGGTGAATTCAATCTCAGTCGATAAACTGGGCATCATTTGCCTGGGCGCATCGACAACAACTTTTGACGGTCAAAGGCCGTTCGGCCTTTGTCCGTCTGTAACACAATGTAGTCAAAGAAATCGAACAGTGTGCCTGCGGTCTACGTTGGAATATTTTCAATTTTTCTGTTTTTATTTGTCCCTCGTGAATCAAAGTTCACTCGTGAATCAAAGTCGTGATTCAAATTGCAAATTTTGGCGGGCCATCAGTTGAATCTTGAATTGAAACTTCCAACCATTTGTTGATGAATTGAAGACAGCCAAAGCAACACGACGATGGTGAATCGTGGTAATATACTCCTCGGAGTGATACTCCATTCGATATGTGCTGTAGGAGTAGGCGCTGATGACAGGATACAAAGGAAGCGACGGGGATCATTGCACTCTTCTCAAACGGCACATCAATCGTCATCCGATGAAATGAATAGTCCAATCAAGACTAGAAGGGTTCAAACAACAGAGAATGGTCAATGTTTAGATCGATTTAGTGCTACATTTCTTCAGTTCTCGGCTTTACCCCAAGCAATATACAACGATCCGTTTACACGGAACCCTCAGGAACTGGGCACCCGGTATATCTACAATGACAACTTGAGATTTCTTCCTAGTTTGGATGTCGTACCGGGATCAAGAGCGTCTGGTACCTGCACGAGAGTTCAATCGCGGGTTGGGAATGATCAAATTGGACTTCAATTGGGTATGGGCCATTGCGAATTCACCTACAGGCTGGCCAACGGCGACCGAGAAGTTATATTCACGGCAACTGGCGAAATAGTTGACTCCATAGGTGGGGCCTTATCTATCACGGGAGGAGCGAGATCAGCATTTGGCGCGTACGGGGAAGCTATCATTACGCCTGTGACAGTGCAACCAGATGGATCCGTTGTGAGCAACGAAGGTGATATCTTTCTTGAACCCAACTTCTACAAGGTAGAAGCAACCCTAGTCTTTCCATGCAAATGAGATCGCTGACTACAAAAGATTGGACGCAGTGCCCGGGATTTTCTTTGGGTTCATTCACAGATCGAATCTTCCTACTTATGAAATATGACAGAATGAAAGGAAACGCGAGTGGGAGTCAGCCAGGGGTGGGGCGCCCTGTCTGGTCAGGGGAAAGTATCGCGGTGCGAAACTGACCAGGTGGTTAGCTAATGCATTGAAGTCAACCGGCAATACAAAAGCTTCCGGACAATCGACGTTCGATCAACTATTGCTAATCCGAAACAAACTCATTGCAAACGTAGCAGGAGTCTAGATGTCAAATCATGAAGGAAGAACAACCAAGGAGGCCGATACAAGCCATTAATATGAACGTCGTTTGAACTCGCCATCATGGATCCAAGATACTATAGTTTCCGCATTTGTGAACTTTTTAAAAATGATAACAGTTTTATCATAGTCTCCAAGAAGCTTTGCTTAGTATGGGCAGTGACCTCTTGTGTACGTAGTTGTGAAAAAGAAATCTTTTGATGGCTATGTACCCGGTATATTTGTACCAGATGACAATGGTGAAAATACTCACAGAACAGTTTCTATGGAGTACGAGTGCACATTTTCGTGACGACGCAATGCTACGCGCAACCAATGACAACGCTCAAGCAAGTGGATGAGATGGTCTTGCCATCGTACGATGATAGACCGTATCGTACGTGGTATGGTTCGCAACAAAAGAGAACGCAATGAAAGTTCACACTGACCTGCATACCATACCATACACTGTCTTGAGAGCTCAGAGTAATACCACACAAAGTGTCATTCGTACACCATGAAGGTACCCATTTTATCATTATTCTTGCTCTTATGGACAGTGAACGCATCGGATGTCGTTCGAACAGTTCCTTCCAGGAACCGCCGGTTAACTTCTTCCATCAACAACGACGACAACAACAACAACAAGGCACGACGAGCTTCCATTTCGAGTAGATGGGGCCCTCATCATCAGACTCTAGGGTCATCAGAAATCTTTTCCATCAGATCCTCCGTCTTGGATATTGGCCGAGGAGGGGCAAGAAAGTCCAAGAAGGCGGAGGGTGGCAAGGCATCTGTCATCACTTCCATTTTCAACTTGTCCAACAATGTGGCAGGAGCTGGAATCTTGACATTGGCGGCAGGAAAGGCCAGTGGAACGGGTTGGATTCCTTCCATATTGATTTGTGCTACGCTTGCCTTTTGTTCCTCCCATACCTTTATTCTCATTGCCAAGGCTTGCGAAATGACTGGCGAAAAGACCTTCAAAGGACTATGGTCAAAGGCCTTTGGACCCAAGACGGCGTGGATTGTCGATTCGATGGTGTTTACCCAATGTTTTTTTGTTTCCATCATATATACGGGTCTGCTAGGTGACATCTTTTCCGCGTTGTTGAGCAAAAGCAGCCTGCCTGCTTCCTTGACCAGTCGGACGTCCATTATTCTCATGGCGGCCAGCTGCGTCTTGTGGCCACTCAATAACATTCGGGACCTTTCCTCTTTGGGCTTTACTTCCATTCTTGGACTGTTCGCGGTCTTATATACAGTATTTTTCATTGTTGTGCGATCGCTGGATGGAACCTACGCCTTGGACCCAGTTGGAAAATTTGTTGCCGAAGGACTCATCATTCCGCCGTCCTTTGAGAAATCCACATTGTGGAACTTTGACTTGAACTCTCTGGTGCTCATTTCCAACTTGGGACTCGCCTTTATTGCCCATTACAATGGACCTTCCTACTGGCAATCTCTGGCCGATGCCACTACGGAACGATTCACCAAGGTGTCCATGACATCCTATGCCATTCTGGCATCTATCTATCTGGCGGTAATGACACGCGGATATGCCACCTTTGGTGACGTTTGCCAAGGCAATATTTTGATGAACTATTCGGCATCGGATGTCTTGTCCACGTTGGGAAGGCTCGCCACTGGCTTTAGCATTATCTTTGGATTCCCACTTATTTCCAATGGTGCTCGTGAGGGACTGAAGAACGCTTCTTCAGCACTGGGCAACACATCCATTTCTGATCCCAAGAATCACGTCAAACTGGTCACGGCTCTGTTGATTGTTACCACGACCTTGGCTATTTCTCTGTCGGACATCAAACTTGTGGCTGGTTTGACTGGTGCGGTGATGGGTTCATCGTTGGTATACATTTGTCCAACACTGATCTATACCAAGATAGTGGAAAAACTAAAGGGAAGGGACAGCGCAGAATATCAAGTAGCCAAACGAAATCTACTGTTTATTCCATTTGGGCTCTTTATAGCTCTGATGGGAGTTACAATGACTTTGAAGAACACGGTCCTAGCTAAATAATAATGTATCCTATGCTACCAATGAATTTAAAAAATGTATTTACAATCTAAGCGTTCTATCAAGTGAACTAAGGCACAATAATGTAGCTAGCTTTGGCCTTCTTTTGCCCATCGTTGGGCAGCTTGGAAGGCGGTCGCAACTGGAACATTTCCACGCAGCTTCGAAAGCCCACCTTCAAAACAGTTGAATTGACTCATCGAAATTGCACTCTTTCGAAGCTTCGCTCTATCGATTTTGGCGTTTGCATTCTCTGCCGCGACAAAGCTTTCCAAGGATACGACAGAATGAAGAAAGGTGCCCATGATTTGTTTGTTTTCGTAGATTCTGTTGCGCTGGACCAAATGCATTCCAAGGAATTCCGATTGTGACAAAATCGATTCCCAAATCTTGACTACGAGTTGGTACAATCGCACTTCTGTGTTTCGATCAATGTCCACATCTTCTGCGTTTTGGACCAACGCCGAGACTAGTGCTCCAAGAGATCGATCGCTAAGGTGCCTCTTTCTGGAATTTCGGGGTTCACCATCATCATCCAGAACATCCTCAACAGCATTCTTCCACGCCCACAAGGCGACGTCGCTTCTACCAGCCTTGCCTGCTGCACGAATGACCGAATTCCACGTTTGCTCGTTCGGTTCCAGCTCGTCGGATGAATTGATTTGGTCTAGAACATCAACGGCTTTATCAACATCACCTCCTTTGGCACACGCTTTCAGTATTGCATTGTAGCAGGCTAGATCAGGTTCAACGCCGGCAGATTTCATTTCTTGGAATATAAGAGAGACTCGAAACAAATCATTTGGATCCGCCTTCTTATGACTGTTGTTCTGCTGATCAAACTTTGCCTTTGGTGCTTGAGCAACACTTGCCATGAGCTCTGCATACACTTCAACTGCAGTTGTCGCATCCTGGTCTACTTCGTCTCCTCCCAGAATCTGATTTTCATACTCGGCCAATTTCGAAGCACTTGTCATCAATGACGTGTACATTACTTCACTCGGCGCAATTCGGTTCTTTTTCATGTATCTGAGCACATTCAAACTATCAGACGTTCTCCCGTTTCGAAGTAGACAGTCCACCAGACTACCGCATGTAATCGTGTTTGGATACACACCGTATTTTGGCATGGAGTAAAATAGCTTGACGGCTGTATCGATGCTCCCTGATTTTCCACAAGCATGAATCGCCGCAGTCCAAGCACCCACTTCTGCTGGCAATTTGTAGTCGTCTCGTATTTGCGCAGGTTGTCTCGCTTGCTCCCGTGATTTCTGATCCAGCAATAGACGTAGACCTTTCAATGCAAGATCGCTTCGTTCGCATCTACCGCAAGCATCAATCAATGCCGAGTATGTCATTCCATTGGGTCGTATTCTCCTGGATTTCATTTCTTTCAGTAAGGAAAATGCTAGAGTCGGATCCTTCGCACCACTTGCGGCTTGTGCTTTTCGTGCTACGGTCGCAATCAGTGTCGTGAACGTCCGAGCGTCAGGCCGAAGATTGGCATTGTCCAACTGATCCTTGACCCGCAGCGCAATGTCCAACTCTCCAGCGTTGTGACATGCATCCAACAGCGTATTGTATGTCACAATGTTTGGTTCAGTCTTTGGAACATCCTTACCACCTCCCTCTATCATTTGCTGAAGTAGATCTTGGGCCAGGTGGATTTCTCCTAGTTTAGCATATGCATTCATCAAAATATTTGCAGACTTCACATCGGGAATGATTCTCTGGAACAAACTGGTTAGATCGTGAACATTGTGCCGCAATGTATCGTTATGAACCAAATCTTACCGAAGAGCTAGAAGCGGATGATTTTGAAGTAAAGAAATTAGGCTCCTGCTTCATCATATTCCAAAGCCGAATGGCAACCATTGGTTTGCCAGCATACATTGCTCGACTCATAAGAGTTGAGAAAGTCACCAGTGTAGGAGCAGGTACCGCTTGCATTTTCTTGGGCGGGTTGCTCTCAGTTATCCCTGCCACCTTTCGCATCTTGAAATATAGTCGCAAGGCGCGGAGCAGGTCATCGGCATCACCAAAGGATGCCAAAGCAGCATTGCAATCCCGTATCCCTGGAAATTGCAAAGGATATCGGTCAAGAACAGTCCCTGCTTTTGCATTCAATTTCAATGATTCTTGGAGGGCATCCAAAGCATCTCGAATATTAGACTCCACCAAGACCGCCTTATCCCATCGTCCCGAGCTAAAGACTTCTTCTTTTCGCTCCTGTTGATTCTTCCTTTTCGTTCTAATGATGCGCTTCTTCCTCGGTCGTTCCCGCCATTCAGTTGAACCAACTCCTTTTGGTGGTTCTGCTAGCACGTTGCGACTAGTATCTTGGCGGATGCTGGGCTTTCGATTCGGAGACCAAGCATAATTTTGAAATGCGTTGCAGCTCCCAATTCGAATTTCCGAAATGACCAAGAAGCAAAGAAGAATGCCCAAGTCTCGAAGGACGTTCCCTCGCGACGCTATTCTTGTCTGTAGCATTTGATAATGTACTATTAGATTGAGATGGGCTATATTGATGGCATTTGCTTTCTCTGAATGGTGTCTTGTGATAGAAATAACGAGAATTCCGTTGTTTTATTGGATGATGGTTCTCTTCTCTCTTCACATCAATGGCTGAAACTTCCACTAATGACGCAAGCCGGCATTTTACTTTCCGTGCAGTTCAGTCGGATTGTTCGACAAAAAAGACTAGACCGACTCAATGATGAACCCACGAAAGAAATGACAATGCAATGATCGTCTGATGCCCACCACCCACCATATTGCTACAGTACACGATACTTGAGTTTCACCATGGCCGACGAGTCCCAATCAAAAGACGAAGACAACACTTCCAATTTCCAGAAAGTCCAACAGACTCAAGCTCAGTTGGAAGCCATCGAAAAGGAAATCCGAGAGAACCAACCGTTGACCTCGGAATTGAAACCAATCGCAACTTTGAAAGCAGTCTACAATGGCGACGACAATGCCAAGTTCTTTGTGAGCGGTGTGGATTACTTATCGACTCTCTATCAGAGTACTCGCATGACACGGGGAGATGGATCATGTTATTATCGAAGCTTTTTGTACAGTCTGAGCGAACATTTGATGAAGAATGAGGCCGAACTGACTCGTATTACGAAGTATGGTGAGATAGTTTCATTGTTTGCTGAATGAATGGTGTTTCTTTCTATTGTACCCACAATCGGCATTGTCTCACAAGATGTCATACATCCTTTGTTATTGGTAACTACCCATCATTTCATTCATTCATCTGCTAGTCAAGGAATCCAATTCGGCCGTGATCAATGTGGGTGGCTACGACGAAATGGCCATTGACATTTTCTACGAAGCCATTGTCGAATTCTTTGAGGAACTGCCCAAGATGACACCAGAGAAATTGCACGAAGAGTTGACTCAAGAGAATGCCACTAGCGATTACTGTACCTGGTATTTGCGGGTGTTGACGGCAACCTTTTTGAAATCGGATCCCTCCCGGTTTTTGCCCTATTTGGAAGATGGGTACATGGACATTGCGACATACTGTCAAACACAGATTGAACCCATGGGCAAGGAATGTACAATGGTATCCGTTTTGGCTTTGGCGGAAGCCTTTCAAGTGCGAGTGCAGATTGAGTACCTGGATGGCCGTCCATTCGAGGACAAACTTACCCGACACGAGTTTGGACCAGAAGAGAGTCTGACCAAGCTGTCGCTCTTGTACCGGCCGGGTCATTATGATGTCTTGTACGCTACAGCCTAAATATTCCCCCCCCTTCCAAATACATCATCAAAGGACGTATCTTTAAGTGACACGATGTACCGCCACATACCTCACACGAGACTGGAGTCGCGTTTGCACACTTCGTGGGCAATTTGAACACAAATTCACAATTTAATTTTAAAAAGCACATTCCCTCTGATTTGATTTCTTTACAATGGTCTGGTGGGGATGGGTCTTGCTATGGATCGTTCTGTCAAACCTTATTCTTTATTGCTTCCCTCAATTATTGGCAGACATCGTGCAATTTTACACTGAATTGTTCAAGTGCTTTTTTGGATCGACACAACAACAACAACAGGACCCAGCAGCACCTGGCTCATCCAACACGGTGGCACTCGAAGAAGCTGATGCCCTTCTAGCGGAAGAAGGCAATGTCTTCGCGCAACCCCTACCTTCGGCACCCAACTTGGAACAAAGAAGCCAGGAATCAGCACCTGACGAACCCAACGCGGTGCTAATCGAAATAGCGGATGTAGCCCTTGTGGAAGACGAAGATGTCATGGCACACCAACTACCTTCGGCACCTAACTCGGCACATCACCAGGAATCAGCACCTGACGAACCCAATGCGGTGCCAATCGAAAAAGCGGCTGTAGTCCTTGTGGAAGACGACGACGTCATGGCGCACCAACTACCTTCGACACCCTACTACCCTGAATTTATATCAAAATCTGTCACTCCCTCTCTCAATGGTTGACTGATGTTTGCAACGTCGCAGATCGGGAATCGACACAACACGAGGAACCACCAGCACATGATCCATCCAACACAGTGGCAATGGAACCAGTCGAAGCTCGAGGTTGAAATTTTCGTTCAGGTGTTGGCTTCTCTAAGCAACCGCGACAATCTGGAATTGATACAACACCAGGAACCACCAGCACCTGACCCAACGTGTATGGAACAAAACTCTGCCGTTCTTGTGGAAGGAGGCACTGTCCTAGCGCACCCACTACCGCCGGTATCCCACTAGACACTAAACCAGAAAGCAACACCTGACCAACCCAACGAGGTACTAATCGAACAAGCTGATGTAGTTCTAGTGGAAGAGGGCGATGTCATGGCGCACCCGCTGCCGTCGGCACCCCCCGAAGTTCATGATGGATGATGTCTACCACGGAAATATAGATCAAACGCCTCATTCCTTCCCCAAATAGACTCGGCGAATGTCTTGCCCTTCCAAATGCGACGAAATGGAAGCCTTTGGCAGTATTTTGTCAATCGTTTTTTGCAATTCTTCCAGGTCATCAGGAGTTTCAAAGGCGGTGCGCATCGACACTATCCGACGTGACTCCAGTGGTCTTTGGGGCGGTTCCGTCAAGACGCTAATGTTTTGATTTTGAATGTCCCACGCGGAAAAGACACTTTCAATGGTTTTGCGAGAATTCGCATAGATCCACAATGGAGGTGCGGAAGAAGAAGAAGAAGCCTGTGCTTGTTCTCGTTGCGATTCAGGGACTGCGGACGGCGACACCAACTCAATGTCAATCGAACCCTTTTCGGGCCGAAATCCAAATGTATGTTGCAAGGCCAATGCCAACAGTGGCTTGTTGATGATCCCAGTCTTGGGACGAATATTTGCCTGTAAACAAAAGGACAACCAAACTGCCATGCATGCTTTTGAAATCCCCTTGCCGCGACTAGCAGGTGTCAGAAACATGCCTAGCATAGTACTGGTATTGTCAGTAGCACTGTTTTGCATGAGAAGAAATCCCAATTTTGTGCGATCAGGGCTTGCTGCACTTGCTGTTTCATTGGAAGAAGAAGGATGATTCTCATGGAACTCCAATTGGATACCATTCTTGCCTGGATTTCGGTGTGGCAAAACTCCAATGGTGATATTTAATGGCTGTTGCGATGCCGATCCAGACTGTGGCATCGACACTTGACCCAAGACAAAGTAGGACTTTTTGCCGATGCCCACCCTTTCTAGTTTGTCCCAATGTTGAAAGGCATACTTGTTTTGAACCTCCGACAATTCAATGGATCGTTCGGGATGACGGAGTTGCTCGACCTTGCGAATGTATTCCCAGTTGGATCGTTTGTGAAAGGCAGCTGTCAACATGTCGAACATGGCGTCGGTAGGAAGTTGTTGCGATTTGTAGGGTGATGATGATTCCTTTTGTACAAAATCTTCTAATACTTCAAAAGCCTCTTTTTCCATTTGCGATCGTACCATGGCATAGATAGCCGTCTGATATGTGACTCGGGAAGGACGGCGCTGATGGTCTCCATCCTTATTGACATCAACTTCGTCATCAAAGTCCTGCAACACTTGTAACGCTTGAGCACCCTTACGACACTGCGCCAAAATGGTCATGAGGGCATTGGTTGTCAAGGTTGTTCGTTGGTCCTTGGGTATTTGCCCATCGTGTATTTCCAAGGCTCGCTCCCAGTCCTTGGCACGGCCACAAGCCGCAATGGCTGCATTGTAGCTAGGCGACGTGACGTCCTTGTCATCCAAGAGATCCAAGGCTTTTTGATAGTGAGCTTGGCTAGATCCCAAAACGAAAATGGTCATAGTCCGAGCTGGTTCAGATGGATATTGCTGAAAGACTTTCAAGGCCAAATCATGTTCTTGACAGTTGCCACAAACTTTCAGCGCTTCGACAACGACAATGGGATGATGACCATTCGATTCCAAAATGTGTAGCGCATGTTCAACGTTTTTTGGTTTCGATTTGATTCTTCGAATGACAAGTTTGGGGTTTATTTCATCATTATTCGTATTGGACGATAATGACGATGAGGGAGATATTGTTGGCAAAACGTTGGAAGAAAACGAGTGGCAAAGGGTTGGTATAAGCGTGAAGAAAAGAAGGATGATAAATGCGTTTCTTCTCACCCCTTTGCAGTCATTCGGGATGAGTTTTCCATGCTGCCTTCTTAGCATGACGTTTCAACCACAAGGAGTTTGCTGCAGGGATGGACGGGGATGTGATTCTATGTTCGTCTTGGATTTTGAACGATGAATTTTGGTTTTTGTCCGTCCATCGACCGTAGTTGAGATCCGTCTGTCGACCGTTGTGACATCCCAAGACTCAAATTGACTCGTGGAATAAATGCCCCCAATATCAAGAACACAACATCTCAACTGAAACATCCAACACAACGTCGTTCGTCGCCTCCAGGTTGCATTATCCCTACACCTTTTCATCAAAGCCGCCACCACATTTACGACAGTAAAACCTTAAGATTAATCATGAACCGCAATTTTCTCCGAATTTTACTTACATTGGCGGCAGTCTCCGTTCCTGCGTTGTTCTTGGGTGTCAACGCCACCGAAGGATCCTGGTTTGACGGAATGGAATTTGAAGAGTATCATCCTCCAGACCAACAGGATGGAAGTGAACCCAAATTCTCGCAACAAATTGTCTGGAGAATTCCTTGTGGTCTCATTCGAGAGTGGACCGATCCATCCGTAGCATCCAGTGTTCTGCCGTTGTCAACAGCAATTGACATTAATCAATCCACTTCGACTATTCACGACAGCTTTCTTCAGCTGAATTTTGACAAAGACGAATCGTCCAAGCTAACGGTACAAGATGCGACGAATGGAACCCATTACATTCCATCAGGATCGCTGTGGTTGCGCATGGGAAGTACCAAAGCCACCGTCATGGCACCCCAGCTGGAAGTAGTCGTCACGACGACGCATAGTGACAAAAACAAGAATGAATATGATGGCGACGACGACAGTATACAATTGAGACTGGGAATGGATTTTATGTCCATGTATCAAGGGCGGCTGGATGCAGAGGGAGCAGGTGGCCTTTTTCTTGTCTTGAAGAATCATGGGGACGACGACGGAGCAAATATAGGGGACGATGAGGTGTTAGTTCCGATTTGGCAACCTCGATCTCCAATCAATCACGAAGAATTGTAGTCTACTCGTTTCATTTCGCATCTGGTCTAAAGGACAGAAACATACGAAGGCATAGTACACTTTGGTATGACTCAGAAATGATAATATTGCATCGCCAACACAGATTACCTTCAATGAGCCGATCGATCCTCCATGATTTGCTCAGGAAATCAAGATCCAATCACTCCCCGAGCAATCTAAAAATTCGAAGGTTAGTGACAAAGGGGGCTTAGAGCATCACATGAGCAAGGCTTTTAGGCCAAAACAGAGTTGGGAAACAGTGAAGTGCCGATTCATTTGATGAGAAGAACAAAAAATAGATCTACTGACTACTTTCGGAAGCGAAGCTTTGAATAAACATCGTCATAGTCATTTTTTTCTAGCTTAGATGATGATGATGATGATGTATTGCACTACTCAGTTGTTGCCAATATCATAACGGAACGTACTCATGCACGATTTACCGAGAGACGTTCAATCTTCCCTTCCTTGCTGATTTCATAGGATTCTACCAACGATACGTTGATTGGTCCAAACTTCTTTTTGCCATTTCTCAAAACTTGATGGCTATGACTCCCAGGTTTGGGCAACTCAAAGATGGGAGGGTCCTTGTGCAAGACGGGGAAGCCTTCGATCCAATCGGCTTTGGTCTTGAAGTTCTTTTTCGGAGACACAAATTCAAAGTTGTCATCTAGAAACAATGCAGCAGCGTTGTAATCTTTCTGCCCATCCAACAGAAGAAGAAACTTAGTGACGATAGCAAGAGGATTCATTTTATTTTGTTTATGTGTTGTGTGATTTGAGGATATTATTGTGAGAGATTTTAGTTTTAATTCGTGATGTTTGGATTGAGCCTCTAAACGCCAAACCCCGATTTATATATTGAGCGCCGGAACTGCACAGAAACGCTATGGGAATACAACACGGAAGCTTTTCTCACATCCTCCTAGTTTAGATGTCAGATTGAAGCCTTTCATGTACGAGAATTATTTTCGTGATCATGGTGTCATGGTCAGTATGCTTTCTGCTTACTACTGTAGTAGTAGTCTTTTTTATTTTTCAAAAATTAGGAGGTAGGACTAATACCTAGGCAGGTACACATGTACACTGTACTGAACACTCGATGGTGATGAGGACGAACGTGGCTATCTCGTTTACTAATTGCAGCTTATCCTCACGCCATGGTTGAGGAGCACTGTTTATTCTAGCAATCGACTGCTTGTTGGAACTATAATGAGTTATTCCTGCCTGAGGTTCAGACAGAGTGTTGGTAAGCAGATTCCGCAATGAAAGCAAGAAGAAAAGTGTTCAATTTTCAATGGTTTCGGAAAGTCGATAAATACCCTGTTTCCTCCTTATGTATAATTACTTAACATATCCACGACAGAGATCAAATCACACACTACCGATACAATTTTCACTTTTGAACCTCATAAAGTATTTTAGAATACCATACAACGATCGTAAAGCAACAACACAACGCTGTCAATCAAAGGACATACCGAAAGCCCAAAGTCAGCAAAGATGAGTATAGACAAACCAAAGGCCGAGCTAACTAAAAAAAGAAGAGTTCGATTCCATACAAGAGTGAAGGAGCGTAGCTTCTACGATTATGTTGAAGATGAACAAGACCACAGAAATCTTTGGTGCACATCCGCAGACTATAGCGAAGCTCGCAAATTTGAAGACGCACTACGGGAATGTGTATCTGCCAACAAAGAGCTCTACCGCAAGAATACTGAAAACTTGAATGCTCAGGGAGTCTTGACACACGATCAAGCTGCAAAAAAATACGCTTTGATCGATGCATCGATCGGCGCTGTCATTGACGAACAAGATAAACAAGAAAGTGCATTCTATGATGACAATAGCATAACCGGCGAAATGTTTTGCCAAAATGATGAGAGAATTGCTGAAGTATACCTCTGCCACTCATATGAAGCTCTGCAGCAAGCGCAAAGCAGAGCCAATCGGCATGCAAAACACGTGCAACAGATCGCAAGTGAGCCTTCAAACGAATCTGGCACACTTTCTCCTTCTCGCTTTGTGGAGAAGAGTAACTTTTCTCGTCTATGTCAAAGGTCGAAAAAGTCGATTATGATTGGACGAGGAAGAAGAAAACTTCCAGCAGGACCCTCTAAATTTGTGATAGAGAAGAGATCTACGCAGGAAGTCATATGCAGCATCTAAGCTTGTACAACTCAACACGGGCACACCAAGAAGTGCGCAATCGTGAGCGCCTCCGAATAACTTTCGGTTTTTGCGATGATTTTCAAACGAAATCCCACATCATTTCTGTGGTTCGAATATTCGGCAGAAACTGCACAAATACAGAGAAATCGAAAAGTGATAAAAAAGATTCCCACATACCGGCGGTACACGTGTACAGTCATTTGAGGGTTCGCGCCAAAGGAGCGAAGGGGTCCACGTATAAACATGTCGATACAGTACTGTAGACCTTTTTTTACCTACCTAGAGCAGAAGAGACTAAATGAAACAGTGGGGTTTTCCCCAAAGTCCGTCCCCTCCTGGTAGATAGTTGTCAGTACTTCCTTTACAGTATTGATATTTTCAGGGTTTCAAATGGCGGTACCACGAGCGCCAATCTTTTATCTGGGGGATTCCTACAAGTAGTTGTGGAACTTTTTCAAATTCCACAAGCACTTGTGGGAAAAATGACTTTCCACAAGTACTTATAGGATCCTACAAGTACTTAAAGAAATTTGCTTCCAAATGGAACGCGATGATTGGTCCATGAGATGGCGCGATACCTCCATAAGTACTTGTGGGAAATACCATAAGTACTTGTGGAACGATTCCACAAGTACTTATGGAATTCCACAGGTACAGTACTTGTAGGATTCCTACTGGAGTTGTGGGACTTTGAAAATATTAGTGGGAAATTGTTACGGACACAAAACAATCTTTCGACAAGAAAAATGGGTCGTTAAACCCTCGTTTTCGGTGGCAGTTGGACCGTTCGACTGAAGTTTGGAACAAGTAAATTGCAAAGTAAAAGGGGATCAGTGGGAGGATCCCACTGTTTCACTGAATCACAGTTCAAAGATTGCACAGAGCAACGACTAGGTACTTGAGCGCGGTTACCAGAACAATTTTCTCGTCTTGCAGTAGGTATCTGTCTCACAAATCATTTACTCGACAAAATAAAACCACATCAACATGTCCGTGCTTCCACAAACCAGTAGCCCAAAAACAACAACTACAAAAACCCAGAGGGAGACTCTGGATGAACCAAAGATGGAAACAGCACAAAGAAAGAAGGTTCGTTTTCATGGAAGAATCAAGCGCCGCAACATCCACTACATCCCCGAACAGGAACATGTGAATGTCTGGTACAAATCTACAGACTACGCTGAGGCTCGCAAACGAGAAAGTTTGCTGCGGCAATGCGTCTCTACTAACAATGAGCTCTACTGCAAGAGTAGAGAAAACTTGAACGCTCAGGGAATTTTCACACACGAGCAAGCTTTGAAAAGGGATGCTGCAATCGAAGCATCCATCATGGCTGTCATCAAAGAGCAAGAGAGACAAGAAAGCGCATTCTATGATGTCAACAAGTGCGGACATTTCTCTATCAACGCAAACATGATTGCCCAATCATACCGCTCTTACGCAAAAGAATCTTTGGAAAAAGCACAAAACCGAGCTGCTCGCCATGAAAAGCATGTCCAAGACATTGCTTGCAAACCTGAAAGTCCATCGTCACCATGTTCTCCTTCTCGCTTCATGAAAAATATTCCTACCCAAAGATCGGGCAAGTCTTTTTCTCGATCAGGTATGCAAATTCCAAGTCCGTCTTTACTCGTCATGCATGAGCAGGGATTTTCGCCGGAGGTCACCACTCCTGCTGCTTGACTTTATACAACTCTGATCGCACACTTTGTCATATGAATACACTAAAAAATACAATAAATAGGGCTATAGATTATAAATGACATGACTACCTACTTTTTTTAATTTAAAAAGCACACCCTGAACGGTCTGAGATCGCTGTGGGCCATCATCCTAGTACTCATATGGTGGTTGCCACGACTAACTTCTATATTAATACATGCACACGGAGAAAGAGGCATTCCTCTTGATGACCTAAGAATCTAGTAATCACACTATTGGCTTATTATATGTGATTGCTTCTGAAAAGGAAGAGGTATTTGCGAACGTTACGAGGCTGACGAGGAAGGAAAGTAGTCCCTTTTGACCCGTCAAAGATGGAGACAACTGAACATGACAGGTGCCAGGTAGAAGAATCAATCATCCCATAGCTGTATACCAAAGTCGTTGTCCAATGAATATAGTTGATTCTATTTATATTTCTATAGAGAGGGTGTGTGTTCTTATGTTGCGTGGTGTAGAGTAGCGTGTGATGCCGGATAGGAAATGCGTTCAAGATTACGCATTCCTTCTTTGAAAAAACTGAGAGATTTCGCTCTCCAACATGTTGAAAAATTAGGCTGCGGGCGTCAATTTGGAAGATCCCTTTGGCCCAAATAGGAATACAGAGGGTTTTGGGATTAGCTTTCGCACACCGCGGGAAGTTGCTTTCGGCGAAAGACTGCGGGATTTTCTAGGTTTTGGTGAATGTCCAGTGAGAGTTTTCTTCTTTAGAGAGCGAGGCGACGAGGATGGAGATGAATGCTTCACAGACTTGGTGTCAGTGTCTTTCAGGTGCTTCTCATGGCGAGCTGCTCGAAGTTGTGCTTGCTCTTGAGCTTCGCGTGAGTACTTTCGATATGCTTCAGCGATTTTCTCGTAGTCCAGAGAGAACTCACTACTCGTCTTGTTGCCACTAAATAATGCTTTTCCTTGTCTTTCTTGCTCTTCAAATACGGCAGTAGTGGATGCTTTAACGGCTATTTCCATTTGCATCGTTTGCTGTTCTGTAAATACGCCCTGAGCATTCAAGTTTTCTTGATTTTGGCGGTAGAGTTGATCATTGTTGGAGATGCATTTTCGAAGGATTCTTCCGTTCTTTGAAGCCTCGTTGTAGTCTGCAGCTGTGTACCAAATATGCCCCTTCTCCTTCTCCGGAATGCAATGAATGCTGTGAATATTGACTTGTTCTTTGAATCGAATCTTTCTTTGATTCTTTTTGTTGTTGGTTTCATTCGATTTCTTTGCACGAACAGTCTTCTTCTCACACTCGTCGGCTGTCTCTGAACTCATCGCTAGCGGCATTATAGACACGTTCTTTTCTGTGCTGCGCTGGCTACTACCGGTAGTTGGTGATACTTTTGTGATGTGATGTAGATCAATAATCTTGGTTTGGCGATGGCGAGCAAGTGGGATGTGATGAATGTAGAGGATTCACGTTATTCCGGTGTTGTTTCGATGAATGAATATAGAACTAAGCGTAGAAAATGTTCCAAGAGAATTTTTTAAAAAGAACCTCTAGTCTGAAAACAAGCGATAAAACCCGACGTGATGTCCTGCCTGGGTCCTGGCAATCAAGCATGATCGTAATGATTTCAATCTTGGTGGCTGTCCCGCGTACGTGACGGGTCATGGAGGTACGAAAGTAGCTCTTTTATTGCTTTTCACAATCTCTGTGTGGTTTACATGAGATTGATAGTAAGTGCCACAAAATAGGAATGTTGCGATAAAAATGTCAAAATTAGTATACGTGCACTCAAGAATTTGTCGAGTCTCAGCTCCCGGTAGCGGTTCTTCGCAAGGCTCAGTTCGAAACGGCAGTCTGTTTCGTGGTCTTCAAACGCTTAGTACTACAGTAGCTAGTTCGTAGCCAGCCGTGGCTGGTCATGCCATCCGATTGATTCGCAAGGGGCAGTCATCTGTTGCACCAGTATTACAATCGATATTGACGCAAAAATTGCTGTCACCATCACTGGCTTCCCCAACATTATTGGTCCTGTAACCGTGATTGCTGAACTGAGACATCATCTCTTCGATGTGTAAAATATTATGACAGTTAAAAGTGTTTTCGGAGGAATAAAATCTCCGGATCCGGAGTTTTTTCAGCGAGAACAGCAAACTTCGCGACTGGACACGTACTGTACTGTGTGGGGGAGGGACAAATAAAACCAGAGGGTAAAATCTAAATGGCTTTCTCCGAAATATTTACGTTATGATGACTCTTCAATTAGGGCCACATAATAGCCACCACATTTTGTCCGAAAGTAAAATCATCGGGGGCGCCTCCTCACAAAACCACAGCAACCATAAAATACTTCGAACACAAACAATCGCAACAATATGGGAATCATTGACAAGCGCCGAACTCGAAGAAGAGATCTACTCTTACGCAACTCTTCCTCATCATCTAGCATGCTTGTGACGAAAACTGATGGCAAGACGATCCTGAATGATCGTCCACAAGAACCAGATCATCACAACAGCACCTTTGATCAAGATCATTCGCACCATCCTACAAAAGTCGAATCGATGAGGACCCTGCTGATGAATAAATCCGAGGATGGTGGGATCATTGGCAGCGAGATTTTTTGCATCGAGAAAATTGGCGAAAAAGTACCGCCTGTGTCCAAAGCACCAACAAGTCAAGTTACTTTCTCTTCCGTGTATACATCTATATACATTCCGCGAAGGACGGAAGCGGAAAAGGTTTCATCATTCTACTCTCAAGAAGACTACGATCGAATCAAATCCGATACCGTTGACACTATCACGGAAATGGAGACAGAGAAAAAGTATCCCTCTTCAGAAACTCAGTACCACCGAGGACTGCTGACTCCTCGAGCAAAATACGAAAAGGAGCAACGCATCAAGTTTGTAGTCTCCAAGGTTCTTCGAGAACAAGAAAGAAACAAATGTCTTTCTGAAGACTGGGTGAACACCTTTTCCAAAAAGTACTCCTCACAAACAACAACGGCTGCCTTTTTCTTGGGAAAGATTGATGCCAAAGCTGCTGGAGCTCCTGATACGCTATCGTCTCATTCTTACATTCGCTGTCTACAGAGACCAAATGCTCCAAGACGAGCGGCATATCACTCTACGCGAAACATTGATGCCAAAGTTACTGATACACTATGGTCTCATCCTCGCACCCTTCGAAAACAGTCTAGTACTCAGTCTCTACGAACTCAATCTAGTACTCATTCTCAACAGACACCAAAGGCTTCTAGGCGAGCGACATATCATGGCGTTCCCCTCGTTTGGGTATAGTAGACTGAAACAGAAGCCACTCGAGCCTACATCAAATCAACATATTGGGCCAAGCACCGAGCGTGAATTCAACATTGATTTCCTGCCGTGTCTTATTGGCGGCCGAGTCAGTCCTCCTCATTGCTGTGCACTTATTTGACATATATGGCATGGCTACTCAAACTAGTAAAAATTTTATCTAAGTATCATCTATTTTTCAAATTCATAATGTGTTTGATCAACGGGAGAATTAAAAACTTTTAGTGATATCATATTGAGCACTGGGCAAAGGAGTGACCGTATATTATTGGCCTAGTTGGATGAGATGAAATGATGTCATTTCCTCTCGGCAAATGAAGCCGATACATGTGCTGCGCACCGTGGAATCGTCGTTAGATTCACAAGGGTTCCCAGCCACCATCCTGCTCGCTCTTGATGCAACAAAGGACATTATCCATTGTACTATCTTCCGAGAACAACAGAACACACAAATCTGCATTCCTCCTTCTTCTTGGCGCAGAAAGGACGGCAAGCTTATCCTCAATAGCGTTAAGATCGCCGAATCATGTCTTCCACACTCAAAAGACGCATTAGAGCAAGCCCAGAAACGAGCCAAGTGCTTGCAACATGAAGAAGGTAGACCTGTATCGCCGATAACAAATTTTTCTCCTTCGCGCTTCTTGAAGAAGATAAGTCGATCACCATCCAGAAAGCGAATTTCCTCCGTTGCGCAAAAGCTACTCGAAGCCACCTCTGTATTTGTGCCAGAGGAAGAGTCGTCTTTGCAGGAGAATAAAAACGCCAATCCTGCGGCCTAATTTTGGATCACTCAGGGGGGCACTACACTGCAAGAATAGGTAGGCAGACATAGAAAGAATCTCAGAACATCTTGAAGTTCGATCTTGTTTTATTTCTGTTGCATTACAGTGTGGATTCGCGATGGATTGATTAGCCGCTGCTAAATTTTCGAATGGCTCGGAATGCTTCGGTAAGAGGCTTTTTTCAAGCAACCAACCGATGCTGCACTCCAAATAGGGACAAATTGAGCAATCTAGCAATTGCAAGAATTCGAACTTCCTCCTTTGCTTCGGTGTTTTTATCATGTTTTCCCATGCATGCCAAAAAATGCGATGTCTAGATGACTCCAATACTTTCAATCTGGTGTTTTGTCCATCCCTTTGTCGATGACAGACTCAGCGTCTCTCATAATTCCGATGATTGACTTACGCCTTGCTTTTGCATTTCGCCATACAAAAAGGTCAAGTTGATCCGTCGATTCTCGTATCCCTTCTTGAAGCTATACTCATCCGTCTGGTGAAAGAGTGCTGAATCAAATAGGACGGCACGATTCTGTCGATGTGGCACTGTTACATTGTCATAATTCGTCGGTTTTAACAGTAGATCGTGAACCTCTTCCGTGTCAGTGTTGAAACGGGCAAAGTCCCAGTCGGCTGGTGGTTTTGCTGTAAAGACTACCAGGCCACCTGAGTTGGGATCCAAGTTGGCTTCGTCTGGTGTCAGCCACAGATTGACATTCACGGCAGCTTGATCAGCATGTAAGTTGATCCCAGTGTACTCTGAATCATACTTGTAGGCCCAGAGGTACTTCAGAAAGTGCCCCTTCATGATTGTCGGCAACTTCTCGTATAGCTCAAAGGCGAGCTGAAGCAATATCCTATCGTGAAGACCGTCGTCAATATAGGCCCCAACGTAGCCACCAAACTTGAGCGGCATCTTGGTTTGAAAGAAGACTGTTGATTCCAGCATGAGTTGTCGAATACGCTCCAAGGCTTTTGGCGTCAAGACATTGTCAATGACCACGACTCCTTCTGACCGAAAACTGGCTTCAATTGACGCAACATCCAAATCTGGATTCAACAATGGAATAAGTTCTCCGGTAGATTGATCTCTTAACTCGTCAAAGTTTGTTTGGTGTAGTGCTTTGTTATAGATACTATCCAAACCGGCAGCATAGTCGGCAACTTCAAAGGGATACAGTCCACCGGTTCGTTCCAGTTCATGGAGAGGTGGCAATTTTTCCAAGAGTGCATGGTAGATTGGTGCAATGGTGGTTCCAAAAAATTTTGCTTTTTCTTCGTTGTTCTTCTTTACAGCTTCTTCCATATCTGTCCTGCTCTTTTCGGCCAAGTGCTTGGCGAGATACTCAGTTTGTTCGAGATCATGCAAAAGCTTGTATTGTGTGGTATATGTGGAACCCCCTCCACGAGCGATGAGTTGGTTTGGCAATTTGTGCTTGATGACCTTTTCATCAGGATTTCGTTCGCCTCGATAAAATATATTTGTGAGTGCCCAATGCAAACCATCCAAATCCCCGTCTTCAAAGAAGTAACTGATGTCGTCGCTGTCAATCAAGGGAGGAAAATCTATATCCGTTTCCTCTGCTTGAGAGTATACAACCACAGCGCTATGTTGTAAGGAGTTGACGAGGATGATTGCCATAAGATATACCTGAAGGCGTCGCATTGTGCTGTTGAAACGTTTGGCTGAGGTTGTAATTTTGTTGATCGGAGTTGATCGGTGCTGATCGGTGATCGATACACCGATATAAAATATGATTTTGAGGTTTGTGTTGATGATGTTTTCGATCGTCACACGTTACATATGGGATGTCGCGCATTCGCGTGCATGTTTGTCGGATTCTGATAATCAACGCCAGGTTCATTCTGACTCACTCTGCCGGGTAGGGGCCTATGGTCTTCCCTGCTACCGTATGTATCTCAAGCTAGCATAAATCGGCAATTAAATGATCATTTACTATATGTACACTATCTTGAGTGTATCCAACGATGCTGAACTCGATAAACAGTGAAAGAGTTGACTCAAGGCAGAAGTAACTGTATAGACGATTTTGACCTTGCGAGGAACTCCCTTAACCGGAGATTGCTCGCAGAAGTGATCCCCAATCAATAGTGACTTATCTAGAACAGCATTGCAGCTTTCATACCCAGAGTATCCGTCAAAGGAAAGGGACCTAGTGGCAGTGAAACAGGATAAGATCCAATCTTTTGAAGCAGGACTCCGCTCTCAATCCAAGATTTTTCTTCACCGTTGATGGCTCACGTGACCAGAAAGCGTCAAGTTTTGCCCATCAAATATATTCCAAGATTTCCTTGCCCTTACTATGTCCCGGCACAGGTGACCGTTTGGCAATATTTCTGAAGTGACAAGTGTCGCATTGCAAAGGGACCATCAACATGTCTCCAGCTTGGGCACTCTTCCTTATCAGGGAGAGCCACTCCATAATCATCAAGGGCTTCTCAAATCATAAATGGTTTAATCCCTCAAGGAACATAACACCCTTCACAAAACGTGGTCCAACAAGGGGCATAAGGACCTTGCTTGCACAAGTAGTTTCTGCAAAAGATCCCATTTCTCACTGTTACTTTCCTGCAACTGAGTTGGCAGCAGAAGTCTGCCCCCTTTGTCCAACAATCTTTT